TAGGTAAAAAATTAGGGGTGAACGTATGTTTATATAACGCACTGTATAATAGTAAGAGTGAGGTAAAAGTTTAGTCCCGGGCAGGCTTCGATCCTGCGACCTCCTGGCAGTTATTGCTAGGCGCTTTCGCTCACCACGTACAGGTTCTCTACCAACTGAGCTACCGGGACTTTGCTTTCACCTTCTCTTTTAATAGATCTTAACCCCCGCCTAGTGAGCGTTTTAAATGCTAACCAGCTGGATCTTTCTCTTCCTTACATAATTTAAATTATAAAAGTTCGATCGAGTGCCGAAATATATATCTAGAAAATAAATTAAGATTTCGCTCAATTTGTTTTAAAACCCCTCCAAAGTTTTCCTGAATTATAAGATTATTTGATAAGTTTAGGTTTTAAACCAGTCCTGCGGATTTGTTTTTATTACGGAAATTATCTCGTGAATAACTTAATTTGGAGGTTAAATATTTAAAGTCCGCGATCACCAACAAAAATTAAAATATACTTATAATTATTGTACCTGAATAATTCCACAATATCCAAGTGGAATAAAATTTGTCCCACTTACTACAACAGCTAAAGTAACAAAACTGCTACTTTCTTGAATACAGATAGAAAAAGAATTTAAAGCTATTTGTATATTACAAGCTCCTCGTAAATTTCTTTAAAAACTTTTAAAAATTAATTATAATTATATGTACTTTGTTTTCCAAGTAATGTAAACAAGATCTCCATTTAAAATAATACCCAATAGACAAACAAAAGCTTTACAAAAAATAAGCAAAACTAAAGGGACACAAAAACCTGCATCTTTAAATGCAGCATAAGCCTTAAATTGAATTTAGGTAATAATAATTTAAAAGTTTTTTTTTTCGAATAATTTTAAATCTGACTATTTTGGAAATATACGTAAATAAATATATTTCCTCCAATTCTCTAGAAAATCTTCCGATTTTTAAAAATTTTCTAGAAAATAATAATCTGCCGTATTTTCTCGATTAATTCCCCTGGGGAATTATTTTTCAACCCTTCCTTGGCATGGGGAATTAATCGAGAGGGGGAATTATTCGAGTTTTGGCATTGCAGTAGGATATTTGGGGGTGGGGAATTATTGTTTCAACCCAACTCTAGCATTGGAAAATAATCGAGAGGGGGGTGCGGCATAAGTAACCGGACACTTGTTTTCTCTCATAACTTTATTAAAACACAATCAAATAAAATCGAAATACATTCAAATGATAGAGAATTAAATAAGGAACAATAATAATCAAGAAGATTCGGTATGCCCACCCTTGGCTTTGATACAGAGGCGAAGGCGTGAGGAAAAAATTTCGCAAATAGCACGCACCTCTTTAAGTGTAATTAAGTCCCACTATCGGGTGTGAGAGTGGTGTAGAGACTCCAAACTTTTATGAAGCATAGCACAGACCCTGGACTACAAAATAGACTAAACAGAATAATCCATCGGGTATAGATTCGGGGAGTAGGGCGGCTATTCCTGAGCGCTAATGAACCCAGGAAAATTGGCCTTGCACAAGTCATGAACTTCTATCGCCTTGTGTGCCGAAGCAGAGTCCTGTTGGAAAATCCAGACTCTGCGACCGAAATGGCTCTTGAACCGAGGCTTCAGAACATGCTGAAAAAATTCTCGCAAGTAATAGTCTTTGTTGACTTTTACCCCTGGATCCACGAAAATAAGGGGTTTTTTGACTGACGCGCAAATACCGGCCCAAACCATGACAGATTGGGGATGTTGGGATTGAATGATAAGCTTATCGGAAAGGGGAGATTCTGTAGTCCAGATTCTATAATTTTGATGGTTGTGAACTGCTTATATTGTAAAAATTTTTTTGTCTGATAAAAAAATGTCCGGACATGCGTGCCACAATCAAAAGAGATGAAATTTTGCGGACTGATTTTTTTTTGCAAAAAAAGTGAGATTATAGAATCACGTTGACTAGCCATAATAGAGAATTGAATAAGCTAAAAAATAAGCCTAAAATCAATTAAAAATATTGACAACAAAAAAAGTTATAAGGAATTTAAAAGTGTCCGGTTACTTATGCCGCACCCTGTATATTTGTATATAATAATGAATAAAAAAAGACTAAAAAATTAAATTTGTATTTTTAAGTTTACTAGAAAAATATTAAATTTTAATGAATTAAAATAAATTTTTAAAATTAATTTCTTTGTTTAAGAAGATTGGAAATTGATACATATTTGGTAATATATTTAATGAAATCAAGTGCCTAGTCTTAGAAAAAATAACACAAAAGCTTTTTAATAATAAAAAAAATTAATTAAAAAATATTTTACACTAATTATAAATACACGCTACATTTAATTTATAAATTTAATGAGGAATTTATTTTCAATTTTTAAAAATATTAGACACAATTTCACGCAATCATTTTTTAAATTTTTGTTGCTAAATGGCAACGGTAGATACAATTCTCTAGAATTTTTTGTTAATTTATAATTTTTAATTAAGTCTCAAAAATAAATTTTTTTTAATAATAGTTTTTATTTTTTAACAGACTTTATTAATTCTTCGTTTTATTTAAATTTTAATTAAAAAACAAATTTGGCAGTAATAAAATAAAGGACTTTTTTTTATTAATTTTATATTTGTTATAAACCAAAAAAAATCATCTTTTCTAGGGAACATAAGGTTGTCGTTCTTCAATTTTTGTTGTAAAAATATTAATTATAGATAGGGCCGTGATGGAATTTCATCCAAAAAATCTTGATTATTAAAGTTTTTTTTGAGAAATTTAAACCGATTTTTGAGAATTTAGTAAAAAAAGAAATATTATTTTTTATAAGACAAAGGGATTAATAATTATTTAAATTTAAAAGATTGGTTGGATCACAGGGAAATAAGTAAAAGAGAAATTTAATTGACAGAATTAAATTCAAAGATTATTTTTCACAAAGTATAATAAAATTCTTCAATTTGCGGAACAATTTTCCAATTAACAGCCCCCAATTCCACCATTAATAAAATCATTTTTCGTGCCCAACATTCTGTTGAATTTAAAGAAGCATTGCGTAATAAAATACGTAATTCGTCTGTTTGGAGTGGATAGTCTAATTCTAAACGGTGGCCAATAATCATTAAAAAAGATAAAATTGATTCTAACTTTAAAAAAAAGAAAAAATTAATTCTTTTTTTTTAATTTTTAAGAAGAAAAATGAATAAAGAGGATAAATTTGTTAATAGAGATTAAAAAAAGAAAAGAAAAATAATAAGGGTACTTTGTTCATATCCCGCCCCCCACCCCTATTTGAGTCTCAGATTAATTTTCCTTCTTTGCTGTCAATCATTTATTTTCCTCCTTTTTTAATGCCAATCATTTTTTTCCTTCAAATATAGGACACCCAAAAGGGCGTGCGGTCATAACGGCGTAAAGCAATAACTTTCTGGAATATTTTTCACCCTTATCATTTCTGTTATCAATCTCTTCAGCTCGATGAGAGGAATCGTTTAATATTAATTTTGGTAAGGTTCGAAAATCTTGAAGCAAGTTATGGCTTCGCGTCGTTATGACCGCGCGCCCTTTTGGGTGTCCTATATTTGAAGGAAGAAAATGATTGGCATTAAAAAAGAAGGAAAATAAATGATTGTCAGCAAAGAAGATAAATTAATCTGAGACTCAAATAGGGGTGGGGGGCGGGATATGAACAAAGTACCATAATAAGAAAAAATTTAAAAAGAAAATAAAAAAAATTAAATTAAAATCTATAAAAATCAGGGTTAGATCCAGACGGGTTTCGGTTAATCCAAATTTGGAATACCCGGGTTTTTGGTTTTGAGTATTAGTTAAAAACCGGTTTATTTTAGAGAATTTTAAAAAAATCACTCATTTTCATAAATTTCTGGTTATATAAAAATTTCCAGTTTTAAAACCGGTCGTGTCCAATAAAAATTAATAGAAACTTTTTTCTTTAATTGAAGGGACTAAATGTCAATAAATCTAAATTTTATTTAGTAGCTAAATTAGAATCTAATAAATTGCCTGTGTCGGCTCAAATTCTTTCATTCTTCTCCATTTGAGCCGACACAGGCAAAAATTAACTGGGCGAAAAAATTTAAAAAAACTATTAGGCACTTGATTTAAATTTAAAAAGTAGAGTAGAAAATAATTTTTTTCAAAATTTACCTCAAAAATTTTCAAAGAATTCAAAACAGGTTCATTAAGTAAATAATCAAAAATATTAAAAATTAAAATAATTATTCCTTCTAAAAATAAATATTATTTAATTTAAATTTAATTAAAAAACCTTCATTACAAATTTGTGCCAATTCAAAAATTAAAAAAATAAAATTTTGCCAAACCAAAAAATAAAAAGAATTTTCTTCTTCTTTAATTTCTTCTAAATTCCTTAATTTATTTTTACATTCAAAATAACGTTCAAAAGACAAAATAATTCCATTATAAAAATATTTAAATATTGAAGTGTTAAATAATGAAGTAAATAACTTAAAAAAATAATTATTATTTTTTAATTAAAAAAAATAAAAAATTGGACTGAGTTTTTAATTGAAATTTTCTAAATGAAAAATAAATCTCCCTTTATTGTTCAAACACATATTTTTTCTGTTTTTTATTAGTTACCCCCACCCTTATTTGAGTCTCAAATTAATTTTCCCATTTTATTGTCATTTTCTCCCTCAAATTTTATAAGCAAAAGGCAAGTATTAGGAAGGGAAAATAGACGGCAACCGTAAAAATCATACTACAGGCAAAATTTAACGTCTATAAAGGAAATTTAACTATTACGAGGCAGAAAAATAAAAAAAAAATTAATCTGATAGTGAGACTCAAATAAGGGTGGGGCAGGATATTAATAAAGTACCAAAACTCAATTTAGAAGAAAAAATAGAATTAAAAAAATATTTTAAAAGAAAATATTTAAAAATTAAAAAAAGATTTAAATTTTTTTGAACGACAAAAAACTTAATAAATTTTATATCTTTTTAAAGAATTTAAAAAAATTTTAAAATAAAACCTTTGAGAGAATTCCTTTTTTCAAATATTTTTTATTATTTTTACAACAATCTTCCACCAAATATTTAACAATAAAAATTCCAACATATTTAGCCATTTCAGGAGAACAATTTAAAATTAAAAACTCCCCAATTTCGTTTCCATTTTGTAAATCTTTTGACAAAAATAAACGCAAATTATTTATTAAATCATCAAAATTCATTGAAGGTTTGGCTTTTTCTTCTGATTTTTTAATTAATTGTTTTTGGCATTTTTGTGGTATTTCTGTTGATTTTGAAGGAATTTTAAGCTGAGATTTTTGTAATTGACTTGTTTCTTCTTTGTTTTCTAAAAAAAATTATTTTGGGATTTTTTGTCCAAAAAATTTATTTTTTAATTTAAACCTTCATTTGACGATAAAAGTGAAATTTCTTTTTGAATATTTTCTTCTGGAAATTCAGTTTGCACATTTTGGACTTTTCTAGGAAGAGACTTTATTCCACGAAGAACTAAAAAAATAAAAAAGATTTTTAATTAAAATTTAATTAACCTGGAGGTTTATACAATTCTAATGAAGGCCTGGAACGAGACCTTGAAATTAATTTTTTCTCATTTTCACTCATTTTTGTCTATAAAATAAATTATTAAAAAGAATTAAAACGTAAAAAAATTTTTTTAAATTAATTATTTTATCTGGGACACGCCCAAGTAAGCGCGCGGCCATAACGGCGCAAAGCCATAACTTGCTGGAAAATTGTTGGTCCTTAATATTTTAGTAACAATCTCTTTAGCTCGATGAGAGGAAACGTACATTACTAAAATGTTAGGATTCTGAAATATTGAAGCAAGTTATGGCTTTGCGCCGTTATGGCCGCGCGCCTATTTGGGCTGTTTTTATTTTCCTTTCCACACTCAACCAGCCGCGACAAAACAGGCTCTTAATTGACAGATTTAAAAAAAATTTTTTTATTTTTGATTGATTTTCTTTTATTTTTTTATTTTAAAGAATGTTTTACTTTATTCCATAAAATATATTAAAAAGCGATAACCAAAAAGAAAAGCTAAAGAAGAATGACAGCAAATAAAGAAAATATTAATTTCTTTTAATTCTTCAGATTTAATTCAATTAAATGGGTGCTGGACTTTTAGCATCTCAATTAATTTTAGTTTTATGTTTTACTGTTTATACATTAAATAATTATGCACATTTGAGAAGGCAAAGGGCAATTATTGCTTTACCTACTTTTTTTGGTAAAAAAAATTTTTTTTGAATGATTAATGTTTTTTATTTTTAGGATGGTTTTTCTCCTTCCTTATCATTATTGTCCTTCCATTGGATGTTGCAATTGTGAGTAATTGATTTCTTTTTTTAAATTTATTTTTAAAAAGACTTTTTACAAAAAATGTACGACAGAAGAATTTTCGTTGAAAATTGTTGAAGAAAAGAATTTGTCTGGGGAAATTGATATTGGCTCTCATGAGAATAATGGAGTTAATTCAAATTCAACTTCGTTTTGTGAAGAACCTGGAGGATTTATTGAAGTATTTTTAAACAAAAATTGGAATTTTTTATTTAATTTTTAGGATAAACTTCTTTTTCGACTTTGGCGAATAGTTTATTGGGGGTCTCAATTTCTGACATGGTTTTTCTTTTAATTTTATCATTTTCCAAAAAATACTTTTCAGGATTTTATTGCCAATGATTCAAAGCTATGCTAAAGCTGGAGAATTTACTGTTAAAGGACGTCTTAAATTTGCTCTACACAGCAATGCTGTTTACTATGGAATTTATTTTTCATTATTGACTTTTCTGCTGATTTATATTGTTTCTAAAGGAGTTAGCTTAAATTTGTAAGAATTTTTTTTAATTTATTGGAATTGTTTTAATGAGTTCCTTTTCATTTTTCTTTTAATGAGATGGGTTTTTCAATTGTTTCAGGCCCGTAGCCAGGGAGTAGGGGGTGAATCCCCCCCCCCGTAATGGGAAAAAGGAAAAAAATTTGGAGAGGGGATTAGGCCAAAAAAGTGATTTTTTTGCCTACGATATTCGAAATTTTAAAAATTTCGAACTTCTTCTTGTTTGATTTTTACTTGATTCCATTTAAAAATTTATCCTTATTTCAGCGCTAGTCTCAAAATTTTGGTTGTCTCCGCCTCCAACACTTGGGGAATTTTCTTGTTGGTTGTTCTCCTTGGATATGGTTTAATTGAAGTTCCAAGATTGTTTTGGAGAATGGGAATTCCAGGTTATTAATTTTAAAAATAATTTTTGAATAAAATTTACTTTAAAACAGGCTATCGGTTACGGCGAACATACTTTGAGATTGACAAACTTTCTTCGGAGAAAAATGAATCCGAGGATGCGTTACTTGAGGCTTACAAGTTTTAATTAATTTTTAAAATAAAATTTTTCATATTTCATTTTCAGTGAAACTAAATACGCCTTAAATTTGTTAAAAAATTCCCGAGGGGAGGCTCGCGAGAAAATTCGTCAAATTTCTGCAAAATTTTCAAACGACATTACTAATGGAATTTTGACAAGTTTGAGGGAGGATAATGAAGGAAATAATTCTTTTACTTGTCGATCTAGAAAAGCACAGCCAGATTTGGAAACTGTCAGTCAAAATGCTTATTTGGTTAGTTCACTGATTTTTTGAGGGGGGGGATTCTATCATCCTCTGATTGAAATTCTTAACTTTTTTCACCCAGAACATTTTCTATTAAAATTTTTTGAATATTTCAGGTAAAATTGCACAGAAAAGTAATTAGAGCTGTTCAAACCTTCCATCGTTGCCAAATTCAATGGAATTCTCTTTTGGAAAAAAGTTTTTATTTGGAGGATGTTGAACTTTCTGAGCGTATGGGAAAGATACCAAAACAATGGACTACTTTTACTGAAAAGAATAAACCAAAATTTCATGGACAGTCCAGATTTGGAGGTTTTGAATTGCCTGCAATACCTGAGAAAATTCAATTCTTTTGGCATTGCAAAATTAAACAACAACTTTTTAAAGTATTTATTTTTTAATTTTATTTAATTAGTCCTTTTGAAAAAAATTTTTCGGAGATTATATTTAATTACTGAATTAACGTTTGCCCCTTGTATTTTGGTCGTCATTTTAATTATTTTCCAAAATTTAAAATTTAATTTTTTGTTTTTCAGTTTTTGGCCATTCTATTCACCATTATGACAACTCTAATTCTTTGGAGTGAATGTACATTTTTTATTTCTAGTCCACAACTTTCATTAGCTGCTTTATTACTTCATGGTTTAGCTAAAAATTATCATTATAAATTTATTCAGGTTTTTTAAATTTATTAAGAAAATTTAATTTTTAAAAAATTTAAGATTTGTGCCATTGCAATGATTCTATATTTGTGTATTTGTGCTTACTATACAATTTTTCAATTGAGAATATATCGATATTATAGATTGGATTCTAATGGAATGACTGATGAAAATTCTCTTATATTTTCTGCAATGTATTTTTTAATTAAAAAAAAATTATTTTTTACTAAATTTAGGCTTATTTGTCGACTAACAGCCCCAATGTGTTTAAATTTTCTTGGAATGATTCATTTGGATTCAGCTGTAACAAAAATGAGAGATGCCAAAATTGAAACACAATTTACTGGAGTAAATAAATATTTTAATAAAATTAAAATTTTTTATTTATTTTTTTAGTTGATGGGGCATCTTGAAATAATTCCTTGGGTTAGTTTATTTTTAAATTGAAAAAAGAATTACAAGAAAATTTTCTTTTAAAGTTAGCCGAAGGAATAAATATTTATCTGCCTATTGTTATTGTACTTTTGTGTTTTGCTAATTGGTTTCGGTTAGTTTAGATGAATATTCGAATGCTATTTTTCAGTAATCGGAAAATTCTGATGTATTTTGGAATTTAAATTTCAGATTTAGATTTTAACATGCTCATTCTATTCAAAAATCTCTCTTCTCTTTTCAGTTTGGGAACTCATTTTCTTCATTATTTGGGGATTGATCAATTTTTGGAAGATGATTTAATGACAACAGAAATGGTTAATAGTGGAAGAGCACTTGTATCACTTGAAAGAAATAGATTGGTACGTGCTGCTAATCGTGAAGAAAGAAATAAAGCTTGGAAAAGTTCAAAAAGTGGAGGGATTGAATTTGATAATATTCAACAAACAATTGTGGATATTCCTGATGGAAATCAATTAATTGATACAAATGGAGTAAGGGAATTTTTTAAATTTTTTTTAATTCTGTGGAAACAAAAATTTATTTTAGTCTAGCTACTCCGTCTCAGATAATTTAGAATTTGGAGTGTCATCCCGAAATATTCAATACCAACAACTTCCACAACGTGATGATACTTCTATCGATACAAGGAGGGAAAATGATCTTCAAAGAAATTTTTTTGATGATATTTAATTTAATAGAATAATTTTTGGAAAAGATTAATGTAATTTTTTAAAAATTAGAAATTGATTTTTAAAATTTTTTTCTTAATATTTTAAATAATAATGTGCATTTTTGTTTCTTTTATTCTCATTCCGTACAATTCTCATTCCCCTGTGTTGGAATTAACAAATAAAAATCTGAGAAAAAATTTTTTTGTTTTCTTTTATCTTTTTAAATGTTAAATATAAAAACATTTAAATATTTTGTAAATTTTTAATATTTTCTTTTAATTTAGAAAAAAAAGAAAAAAATGATTGGTGGAGGTATTGCTTTTTATCCAACACTTGCTTACAATTTATTCCGTAATTATATTCAACCAACAAAATGGAGTTGGTATTCTCGTGTAAATGATACTTTAATACTTGGGGCAATTCCTTTTTCTTCAATGCTTGAAGTTTTGAAAAATGAGGAAGGAGTTGGGGGAGTTGTAAGTTTTTCTTAGAAAATTTTGTTGAAGTTTAAATTAGACGTTAAATGAATTTTTGAAAATAAATTTGGGCAAAATGGAAGAATTATCTGAAATATTTTGTAATTATTTTTTGAGGAAGAATAGAAAATCAGAAAGTAACAAGAAAAGTAAAAATTAATATTTAGGTTTGTTGTACAGAACAATTTGAATTGGATGCCGCTTGGGGAGCGATAAAACCAAAAGAATGGATAAATAATGGAATTGAATTTCATCACACGCCAATGAAGGATTTTTTTGGTTTGAAATTTTATTTTTAATTATTGCTAGTAAAACTATCTTAAAGGAACAACTTCCCAAAAAGACATGACTAGCGCTGTTGAATTTATTGAAAGGATAACAAATCAAGGCAAAACTTGTTATATTCATTGCAAGGTGAGGGGATTTTTTTAAATAATTAAAATAATTCTTTTAAATTAAAGGCTGGAAGAACGAGAAGTGCAACAGTCGCTGTTTGCTATTTAATGTATAAATATGGACAAAATGTTGAAGAAGCGAAAGCAACACTTTCTAAAGTATTTTAATAGTATCTTATTTAAAAAAATTTTTTAAAGCAACGCCCACAAATTTTGCTTCATGAAGTACATATGCAAACTGCAAATGAATTTCGTCAACATCTTGATCGGATAAAAGAAGGAAAAAATTAAATGAATGAGCTATTGTAAAATAAATAATTGATTAATTATAAGTATATGTAATATATTAAAAAAAATATTTTTAAAATAATTTAAAAGATGAGGACCATTAGATTAGAAAACGTGTGTCTGTCACATCTTATTAATTATCTAGAAAGATACGAAATTTATTTATATTAAATAGTATACTTGAATATATTTGGAATATTAGTGCATTAATAATACGCATCCCTAAACAGTTCCAAATAAAGATTTCTGAGTTTGACCGTTATGAGCTCAAACCAAATTTGGTACCAAATGTCACTTGGCAAAACGGAATTTGAGTAGGATAGTTTTTCGACGATATTTCATCGCTTTGTCCACTTAACTTAAATTTCCTCAAAATGACATGTTCATTTTTTTCTTTTCTCGATTTAAATGATTTTGGCTTGCTAGGACAAGTGGGCAAAATTTTCAAGTCAAAAGTTCTGTGGCTGATCCTGTTTTTACGAAATCAGATTTTTAATAAATATATTTAATTTTTTAATTTAAGGTTTTTATGATTATAAATTTATTATTGATATTTCAACGAACACTGGCATATTATTTTTCAACTTTATTTGAACGATTTTTTAAAAGGGCGCAAATAAACGAAACACAACAAGGACAACAATTAATGTCATCATCTTCATCGAGGCCGCCAGTAAATGAAGACGTTGCTTATGCAAACTATACTTTATTCCAAAAGAGGAGTGGAAAAGCTAGAGAAAGTTTAAGAAAAGCTTTGGAGGCAGACGAGACAAGTTTGAATTTTTTTAAATTAAAGTCCAAATTTTTTGAAATTCATTTGGAATTGTTTTTTTTAATTTCAAAAAAGTTTTGTGTAATTTTTAGGGGTGAATAAAAGAGGTGTTATCCTTCTCTATAAGTCTGCTATGCGCGACTTTGAATCAGCTTTGTCTACTCGACTTGTTTCTTGCCCGCCTTACAAACATGCTGAAATTCGCCAACAACAGGAAAAATTGGGAAATTTTCTTGAATCTGTAAAAGAAAGGTTAACAAAATTAGGTTTATTTTTCTATAAATTTCTTAGAATTATTTTCTTTACTTCTTAGAAGAAGATGATTTGTCTAAATCGGGTAATGAAACAAATACACGTCAAGTAATGATTAGTAGATCGGTCAGCAGATCGGCAAGAGGGGCGCCTACTGCTACAACAAGCGTAAGTATTTGTAGATTATAGAGTAGACTTAATTGGCCTCGAACTTGAATCACTGGGTTTGATTTTCAAGTTAATCGTTTTTTCCATGTTTATTGACAGGAAAATAATTTTTGTTTAAAAACATCTTGTTAAACTTTCCTTGTGTAATTTTAGAAAATATATTTCCTTTTTAGGCTCCTTCATCCTCAATGACAAATTCCAAACTTTTGAAGGGTGTAAATTCGAAATTCGGTGAAGAAACTCTCTCTACTATACTTGCAGATTCTGAAAGGATTACTCTTCGAAATGTAGAGGGAAATGAGGCTGCTAAAGAGGCATTAGAAGAAAGCGTAGTAAGTTTTTAGAACATTATTACTCTTTTTTAAATTAATAAAAAAAATTAGATATTGCCTTCACTTAACCCAAAATTATTTACTGGATTGCGCGCCCCTTGTAAAGGAATTTTATTATTTGGGCCACCTGGAAACGGAAAAACAATGATTGCCAAAGCATTAGCAAGTGAATGCCATTCGACATTTTTTAATGTCTCTGCTGCATCGATAATGTCAAAATGGGTTGGTGATGGAGAAAAAATGGTACAAGCACTATTTCAAGTTGCAAGAAATGCTCAACCTTCGATAATTTTTATAGGTTTTGTTTGAAGTAGTACAGTCGGAGTTCGATTTTATTTACATCTTACACAGTTAATTTTAGATAATTTTTTAATCTGGTTGGTCATTGTGTGGCGAGAGGTGCCTAACTAAGCGTTACCTTTAGTTTTAGGTTCACCTCATTTTTACTAAAAATTTTTTCAAAAATGTGTTCGTAAAATCGAGATTCCGACTATACGAAACTTTTCATAGTTTTTTTTGAACACGTCCCTTTTTATTGAATATTCCCCGTTTTAATTTTTAAATAACAGATGAAGTCGATTCAATGCTTTGTGAACGCTCAGAACAAGAAAACGGCGCGGCTAGACGTGTAAAAACAGAATTTCTAATTCAAATGGATGGATGTGCAAATAAATCAGAAGATCGAATTCTTGTTTTAGGCGCAACAAATAGACCAAATGAATTAGATGAGGGAATTTTGAGACGTTTTCCAAAGAGAATATTTATTGATTTGCCAGAAAAACAGGCTAGAGCATCAATGATTAAATCAACTTTTCATAGGTCAAATACACAGGCTTCTTTAAATGATCAGGAATTGAAGTGAGTTTTCTTTTAAAATTTGTTTGGACAACTTTTAACGATCCAATTTGATTTTTCGGATCCGGAGATGGTATTAATCACGAAGAATACTCCAGCTCCAGTTTGAAAATAATTAAATTTCTTTTCAGTTATATAGCCGAATTAACAGCTGGATATTCTTATTCTGATTTGGATTCACTCTGTAGGAGTGCTGCTTTAATTCCACTTCGCTCTATTGACCGGTCAAATGTACATAAATTTACTGCAGCACATTTGAGGCCAGTTAATTTACAAGATTTTGAGGCTGCATTAACAACAGTAAAGCCATCATTAAACAAAGAAAATAGGAAAAAATTGTTAGAATTTGCAAGAAGACATGCACAAATGACAGAATGATTGGGGAATATATGAAAATTTTTTGAAATTTTCAAATTAATTTTCTGCTTTTATGAATAAAAAAATATTTAATAAAAAAAGTTCAAAAATAAAATTTAGTTTTGTATAAATTTTAAAGCTGAAAAAGAAATTTTTGTTGGGATATGTATATCCCGAGAAACCTAATTCCGCTCTAGTTCAAAATTCAAATCTGCAAAAATTCGAAACGGAGGTGAATTCAAAGATATGTGAAATGCCGATATTTTTATCTTACATTAGTCGGAAATTCTAAAATTTTTCTTTAAATTTTATATCAAGTTTCTCCAATGAGATGAGGAGATTTTTAGCAACTCTCATAGTATAAAAACATAGGGATTTCCATCTGTCTTACCGACAACAGCTTCACTTGACAGCACGATACTCAACTCCAATCAACAACGATGGCGGACGGCAAGAAGGATGATGACGGCAAGAAAGGCGGCGGAGAGCGAAGCGTGATCAAGGAGGATGGTGGTAAGGGCGAGCAGGCAGTCCAAGGAAGGGAGCAGCAACAACAGGAGGACGCTAACACGAACACGGAGATGATCTCGCGGCTTGAACCGATGGAGGCAATCGCTCTGAATATTGGGACTGTGGTCGGCAGCGAAGGACACAGGAAATGGCACGTTCTCAGCAGGTTAGGATCTGGCGCGTTTGGTGCTGTCTATCTGGTGGAGGAGGAGGGTGCCAAGAAGGAGGAAAAGTATGCCTTGAAGGTATGTTGTTAAAAAGTTTTAAAAATGTTAACCATTTCTACTATTTTTAGGCAGAGCGCCTCTCAGCTCAAGTGCAGATGTTGGCCGTCGAAGTGCAAGTATACCAGGCGCTGATGGCAAAGGCAGTTGAAGGAAAACGCCGGTACCCGTTGCTGATTGACAAGGGAGCCTGGAACAATCAGTGCAACTACTTGGTCATGTCATTGGTCGGCCCATCACTTGAGGTGTGTTTATTTATAAAGATTGGTCTAAATTCGCAAATAAATTATTTTTTAAGGATCTTCGACGTAAGCGTCCAAACAACAGGTTTTCCATGGGCACGGCTCTGCTTGCGGCTAAGAAGACTTTGGCGGCGATTGTACAGATGCACCTCGTCGGCTTTCTTCACAGAGATGTGAGTTTTCATTTTACAAAATTGAAAACTGAACTTTAATTTCCTTTTCTCAATTTAGATCAAGCCAGCAAACTTCTCGATTGGACACACGGACAAGAATGTCATCTACATCCTCGACTTTGGCATGGCACGATGTTTTGTACGGCCAGACGGCGTACTTAAGCGACCACGCGCAGGCAACATCGGTTTCCGAGGGACAGCCAAATATGCTTCAAGAATTGGTCACAAACATAAGGAGCTCTGCCGAGGGGACGACGTCGAAAGTTGGTTCTACATGGCATGTGAGCTTGTGAAAGGGAAGTTGCCTTGGCAGCGTGTCGATGTAAGTTTATTAATTTTTTGGTGGTTTGTTGGCTAATTAAATGTTTGATTTTTTAGGAAGAAGCCAAAATACGTGACATGAAGATCGAAGCCTTAAGACCTGGGAAGGTGGACGTCAAAGGAAAGGGGCCGACTTCTGAGACAGCAGCGGGGACGAAGACCAAATCGGAGGCGAAACCCAAGGTGGAATCAAAGCCCAAGATCGAGACTAAGACCAAGACTGAGACAAAGCCCAAACCGGAAGCGAAGCCTAAGACAGAGACTAAGACCAAAGCAGAGGCCAACCCCAAATCGGAGCCGAAGACTAAAGTGGAGCCGAAGGCGAAAGCAGAGGAGGGAAAGGAAGGAAGTGCAAAGAAAGCTGAGAGGGAACCGAAGGATCCGCGTCGTCTGCTGCTTGGTGGATGCCCTAAACAGTTCGCCAACATTCTGGAACTCGTCGCGCCGCTCCGCTATTATGATGATCCGCCGTACGATGAAATTGCTGAACTCATAGCTGCCGCAATAAAGAAGATGAAAGTGCAGGTTTGTGGAGAATGTCGTTTGAATTTTTAAATTTCCTATTTTTTTCAGACATATCCACTAGATTGGCAAGAAGGAGGAAACAAAGCCTAGACGGAGACTAAGACCAAAACAGAGGCAGATGTTGGATTGTGATATGTATATACCTAATCGTGATATATGTTTTTTGATGTATTTTTTCCTTCACAATGTTGTAAATATGTATATTGTTTTTTCTGTAGATTGTAAATAAATTTGTCTTATGTATGCTTTTGCGTCTTTTGATATAAATTCTCTTAGGTTAGTTGTGTAAATAGGTTTGATTTAGTCATCTAGTAAAAAACAAAAGCTAGAGTTGTTCCACATCCCCGAAAATTGGAGAGACGATGGAAATTCCCCATCTCCTTACCTCCAACTAGAAAATAAAAATTCCTGAGACTAAAAGTTGCTTTAAAATTGTAAGGAAAAAAAGTTGACTAATCTTTTTGAAATTTTTATAAAACAACAAAAAAAAGAAATACAGAAAAGAATAAAGATATAATTATTTTATATATATTTAAAAAGGCCAAAGAAACAAATATAAAATTAACAGAAAATATCCCTTTCTCTCTAATAAACTCAATCAATTAACTTTTTAGCCTTAAAATAAGATCGCATATAGAGCACCTGCCAAACAGCTAGTCCAAGAAGGCAAAGCATTGAAAAAATACTCAAATATAAAACTCGACTATTTGTTGATTCTGAAAAAAAATTTTTTAAAAATATTTATTTGGGGATCATGGAATTTATTCTAACAGTCGATGGAAAAAGTATAAAGCCAAAGTGCGGTACGAAAATCGGGGATATTTAGTTCTAAAAATTTTAAAAGGTTTTCAGTGATAAATCGGTCTAATAATTCGTTAACCGTTAGAAGCCGGGCCGGGACTACAAAGCAGGATTTCATTTAAATAATTCTTAAAGTCTTTAAAAAAAATTTTAAATTCGCAAATGTCATAACAGCACATAAAGATAGGAAACCTTAATATCTAAAAATAGAGGTAATCCTTTAATGGAAAAATTTCTCAGGAATGAGAAAGTTTACAAAACCCCCAATTTCCATTAAATATTCGTTTCAAACAAAAATTTCGTTGAGAAAACATAAAATAGAAAAAACCGTTAGTGTCACGCATTTCCTCTTCCCGTTGACGCATATAAACAAAATCTTGAACAATCGAATCAGAAAGATCTTCTAATCGGCGAAGTTCAACTTCCAACGGTTTAAGTTTTTCTGCTTTAGCCAAATCCTCATAATTCTTTGCCTCAACGCCGTGTTTAATTTGAAGAGAAATTTCACGAGAAAATTTGTGTTGCTCTAAAAAATTAAATTACAAATTTAAAAACTTTTTTATTTAAAAATACGTGTTGGCCCATGATCTTTAAAACAAATTTCAAAAACATCATAATCATCGCCGGTGAATGCAATCTTGCCACGAGTCTCAGGGAAATTTTCTCGGTTATAAAGTGTATGGCCACGAGTATCTGTTACCTAAAAAAGAATTTTTGTTAATAAAATTTAAATTTAATGTGAAGAAAAAACAAATAAATTTTCGGTATTTTTCTAATTTGATAGAGCATGCCTGATCACTCATTAAAAAATTATATCCCGATAAGTTATTTGATGTTTTTCACATTTATCGGGTTTAACTTTTTTAGTGATCAGACTTGATATATCCTATTAGAAAAAAGATACAGCTTATCGAGGACTTTCGAATGATATAAAATTCATTTGTATTGGATCAAGCATTAAAAAGTTATAGATGACCAAAGTAGTCTGGCACTCAGTTTGCGGTCGTAAAACGGAAAAGTACAAAATTTTCTTTGGAGGAAAAAATAAAAAAAAACACTTTAAAGTAAGCGTTGCTTTTAAAAACAAGGAAAAAAGGGATTTACTTAAAAATACTCTATAAACAAGGTCCCGGGCCCAATAAATATTTAAAATAGTCCCGCGAAGATTATGACCGTGACAATAATTACCTAAATTCCCATTCCCTTCCAAATTAAAAAAAAATAACCAACAGAAACAGTCATTGTATGCCCAACAGCATCAGAAATTTCATATTCCCCAGTCATTATAACATTTCTGTGCATCTCATCTTTTATGCATTGTCTTCCATTTGTAGGAATAGTAAACCTCAAAGCTTCAACCAAAAATAAATTAATTAAAAGTGTTGAGATAATAAAATAAACAAAATATTTAGAAAAATCTAAACGTTTCATTCTCCTAAAATTAAAAATTATTTTTAAATAAAAATTAATTAAAATTAATAAAAAAAGTTTTTACTGCGTGTCAAAGGAAAAAGAAAATTAAATAACACGTTGCCAAATATTTTTTTGTTAATTTAAATTTTTGAAAGTTTTCGTTTCGATAAATTTTTTGAAAAAACGAATAAATTTTATTTAAATTAAATGACCGTACATGAACCGAGCATGAAAGATTCTTTTAGTATTTTAAAGATTTCCAATAGAAGAAGTTTACTTGAAACTTTGATTTTGTTAAATTAGATAAAACAATTTTGTAAAATATACATAAATATGAGTTATTTCCATTAAATGATACTAAAATCGACGAAAGCTGACTTGATCTTTAAAATATTTTGGGCAATACTATGAAGATTGTGCCCGTAACCATAATTAAACTGACACCTCCCTCTTTTTTCCGTTTCCCTGACCATCTTGAGCATTTTTCTTTATTATTTTTTCAGTCAAAGTATTACCATATTGTCATTGAAAGCGTTAAAACAATTGCTCATAACTTTGTCTAATCACGTCAGCTTTAACCGATTTTAGGGTGTCACTCTCTTTCGAATAATATAATAGAAATTAGAAAAAAAGTGGGGAGTATCAGTCAAAGTATTATTTCCACAATCTTTAACGATCTTTAAAATTATACTTTCAAAAATTTCTTTTTTTAACTAATTATAATTAATTCTTCAATTTTCTTTTCAAAATAACCAAACCGGAAACATTAAAAATTTTTATTTTTGAATTGCGCAGATTGGCGTGCTCATCCTTATTCACATTCCTTCTCCCCCATTCAATTGATTTCCACATAAAAATTGTTTGAGGCGTCGCTTGCCTCACAGTTTTTTAACATACACAGGCTGTCTTTATTTATTTTTTCATGAATATTTAAAGGGCGGTGATTCATCTGGCAGCATGACTTTTGTAATTTTAAAATCCTTTTTTTAATTTTAATGCTTGTTTAATCAGGATATGTATTAGTAAATGTCTAGAAGGAATTATAATATATAGATTAGATATCAGAGATCGCGCCGACAGAAAACCAAATTCCCGATTTTCGGGAATCGGGTCGGCGCGATCCCTGTTAGGTGTCCTTTCTATTAGAATAAATTCTGATTTTTATTCTCAATTCTTTTTTTCCAAACAATAAAAATAAATTTTTGTTTTGTTGCCCTCGGCAACCGAACGAAAAACTAGAAAAATATATTTAAATTCTCCAAATGCTTTATCCCATAAAATTACTAAAAAGACTTTTCTTTCCTATTTTCTTCAAAATAAATTTTAAAAAAAATTTAAAAATTTTATTCTCAATTTATTTTTTAATTAATTAAAATTTTTTTCAATTACAAAAGGCAGAAATGTGTACTTTAATTTTAAATAAATTTCTTTGTTCCGTTATTTATTAAAAATCTAATAAATTTAACACTAACTATTATTTAAATATTTAAATCAACCCCCATCATTATTAAAAGCTAACCAAAATTTTTTTCCAAAATTTTTTTTAAAATTACTTTTCATTTTTTGATTTTTGGTTAAAACCTGAACAAACAAAAAAATAAAAATTTTGCTATTATTTATTTATTGAAAATTGTCCTTTTTTATTGATGTAAATTGAAGAGAATCCACACACAAAATAAACTTGCGCGTGCATTCCTCGAATTTATATAAATAAATATTTATTTATTTATTACTTTTTTTCAATTTTTGTAAAAATATTTTTTTAATTTTTACTGTTAACTTTCTTATTTTTTTAATGATTTTATCTTTCTTAAACTTTTTTATTTTCCAAAAAAATTTTAAAGTTGATTAAAATCTGTTCTTTTTTTAGAATTTATTTTCTTAATTAAATCAATTTTTAACTATTATTATTTAACTCTTTACAACCATCAGTACTTTATTAATAGGGGTGGGGGCGGGATATTAATAAAGTACCAAACCATCTTTATTAAAGACTTTCGATATAAGAAAATCTCTTTTCTTTTTACTTGGAACACCTTCCAAGTTGTAAAAATCGAAGGTTTCAACATGTTAGCGGCTCTACGGGTTCTGGAACCCTTTCCTGGAATATTTTAACAAAATTCTCTTAAATCTATTAAATAAAAATATTTATTTTTAAAATATTTTTAATATAAAGTCCCTTTTATATATTCCCTGGTCAAGGACATCAATCCCAATCTATTACCATTTTCTCATACATTATAAGTAGCAGTCCATCTTTATTTTATTTTAATGCCTTTTTGATCTCTTTCATCACTTTTTTAAATCTAACAAAAAATAAATGTTCGTCTTCAGTTATATTTTTTAATTTAAATTTAGGTTGGGCTTTTGAGAGTTTTAAATCCGGATAGTGTTGGGTATAGGGTCGGATAGTTGGAAATCCTCGGATATCCGAATCCGATATCCGAACCGAAAATTTCTGGATATCCGGCCTTTTTTCGGATCCGACAACCCTATTGGGTATTCGGAATTAATTTTTCTTGTTGATAGAAATTAAGTGTTATTTTGAATAAAATTTAATTAAAATAATTGTGCACAAATTCTTTGAAATTTTCAAAAAATTAAGAGGCCTTAAAGTCTCAATTAATTAATTAATTTTTGAAATAAACGTTAATATATTAATTAATAATTTATTTTTATATTTAAAAGTTATTTAAAATCGTTTAAAAGATTTATATCTTCCTTTCATTTAACATATCTCCTCTCTCTCCTTCCTTTTTTAATACTTTATATATTTTTGAAGGTTGCGCACTCATTGCACCTTCAAATCCCCCATCCCCCATTTTTCCCAATCGATCTCCAACAGCGACCGGTTATACTAAATTTGGTATTTTTGGCTGTTTTAAGGTTGTGGAGCTATTCTTTTTTTATTTTTTTTTGAAGTTTGGAGGTGGGGGGGGGGAGGGGGTTATCAATTAGGGGTATTTTAATAGAAGTTGGGATTTATGGGAGTGAAATTTAAGGTTTTAAATGAAGGAATAAAGTTGGGGAGATAATTCTTTCGATAATTTTCTGTTTTTTTTTTAAATTTCCCATTCTTCCCTTTCCATGAATATTTGGATGATGCGGGAAAGTCCCTGCAAGTTGTGAGGAGATTCGACAATATTAAATTATTTTTTTGATAAATTTCCTAAAATTATTTTTTATTAAAAGAAATATTTTTTAAAGGGAAAAATAATTTAAATAAACAACAAAAAAACAAATGCCAAGTACAGCAATCCAAAAATTATTATTAACAATTTCTATATTTTTAATCGTTGCTGGACTTGCATTAACAATTGCTGGATTAGTATCTCCAGCTTGGCAAGTTGTTGATATTCGGGAATTTAGAGCAGAACATCAACACGGGCTTTGGTGGGATTGTATTAGAGCTGAAAAGGTTGGGGAAAAGGATTTAAAAAGAATTTTTTTAAATTTCTTTTAATTTATTTCCCTCAATTTCAAATAAAAAAAAAATTAAAAAAAAGGCGAAAGTCAATTAATTGTGATTGGACTCTTGTGAATGATAACCCAACCACCTCCGGACCCTTCGCTGAATATTTAACATTAAAATTCATTTTATATATAGACTGGAAATAAATAAAGAGAAATATGTCGATGTCTATTTTTTAATTTTTTTAAATTTCATATATGTATATTCTCTTTTTCTTCCTCTCGTTTCTCTTCCCTTTTTTTCCATCTCTACAAAAATTAAAAATATTTTAAAAATTATTTTCATTTCTTAATCCAAACAAAAATTTAAAAAAATTAATTTTTAAAGTTTTTCAGCATGTTGTGGCTGTTGGCGATTTTTATGATGAAGTACATTTTATTTAAAAATCTTTTTTATTTTCCTCTTCCTTTAAAGGCTCCTCTTCACTGCATGTACAAATTTGACGAATCAGCCGCTCTCGTTATTGAAAATACTCTTGTATGTAGAGATTTAGTAGATTGACCTTTATTTTAAGTACACCCTTTACAAACTTCTCTCTCTAAATTTAAAACCCTCCATTTAATGAACTCTTTTATAAAAGAGACTCCTCTAAAGACCGATAAGAAATTATAAGAGCAAGCAATTTTTTGGTGTTTTGAATCAAAAAATTTTCTAAAATTAGATGTTCTAAAAATATTTGGATTTTGAGAGTTTAAGAGAGTATTGGTGAAATTTGAAATTTTTATGATTTTTTCTTCAAAAATGGGGTTTTGGGAAATTGTAAGAGTAAGATTACTGATAAAATTTATTTCTGTATCCAAAACAAAATTTTTTTTCAAAGAATCGAATTGACGAAGACGGGGCAGCTGGAGAAGCAGAACACCATCGTTTTTGGGGATGGCAAAAAGTAAAAATTAAAATTAATTTAAATAATTTATTAATTTAAAGGTTGTCTTAACTTTAATTTTACTTTCTCAATTATCTGCTTTTGTTGCTATATGTACAGGTGTTTGTGCACCTTGTTTCCCTCCATCAACTTTTTGTTTTACAATTTCACTTTTTATTGCCAGTTTGTTTTTAAGAGAAAAAGAAAATAATTTTTTAAATTTAAAGTGTTACTTTCAATGTTGTCTGATGGAGTTTTCTTTTTTTCTGCAAATCGAGTTGATATTCGTTTTGTTACTGGTAAATTAATTAATTATTTTTTATGACTAAAAAAAGAAAAAAATTATTGGATTTTAATGTGTAAGTAGCACCCCGAGCCTTCGGGGGCGGAATCGTCGTGGATCGGGGCTTGCCAGGGTAGAGCCTTCTTTCTTCGGGTCGGGGTTTTTTGCCTAAAAATTCTTCGGGTTTTGTGGGACGGGGTGCTACCCTAGTTTTAAATGGTGGTAAAAAAGAAAGTTTTTTTTGTCAGAAAACTTTGGGTGGCTTCGAGGCTTAAAATTTTTCCATTTTTCTTTTATTAAATTAAATAATTTGATTTCGATTTTAACAAGGAATGACATTTACAAATAATTATATAAAAAAAGGATTTAATAAAGTGCTTAGTTTATCGAGATAGAGCATTCCTCTAGATCTCAATTTTCGTACGACACTCCCAGTCCGGTCTCTAGTTTAAACACAATAAAGGCAATACATAAAGTTTTAAGAATGACTAAATAAAGTAACTTTTCTAAATCAACTTCTTATACATTAAATCATGATGCCGTTAAACTCTTAAATAAACTACCAATAAAATTAAAATTTATTTTTTCTATTTTATAGGAATGGTTGGAACTTATGTGAGTTATTATTTTTAAAAATTAATTTAAAAATATATGACCTGCATATATTAAAGGAACAAATAATTGGTTATGCCTTTTATTTACATGTTGGGGGCACTTTTTGTTGGTTAATTGCTTTTGTTTGTGCAATTACAACAACCTATAAATTTATTTCTTCTAATGGAACACAGAGGTAGAGGCTTCTTTTAAATTTAATTTTCTTTCCTTTTTTCTGCTTTATTTATTTTTTAGTTCATAGCACCTTTAAATTAAAATTATGCACAATTATTTTTAAAAATAAACACAAAAATAAGTAAAATTTCTTTTTTCTTATTAAATATTTGTAACATTCTTTTTTCTATTTTTCTTATTAAAATAAATTGGTGAAAAAAGGAAAGAAAGACTCTATTTAAAGCCCGTGGCTCTGGTCTAGTTTAGTAGTCCAATAGTAAGAGCTAAGTAAAAGTTTAATCCCGGGCAGGCTTCGATCCTGCGACCTTCTGCTGCCAGTTATTGCTAGGCGCTTTTGCTCACCACGTACAGGTGCTCTAGATAAGGCTTTCAGGCCGAGACTGAGCTACCGGGACGCTCTATTCACCTTCTCTTTTAATAGATCTTAAACCCCTGCCTAGTGAGCGTTTTATATGCTAGCCAGCTGGATCTTTCTCTTCCTCACACAATGAATGTTTAGACCAGAGCCAAAAAACTAGACCCGAGCCCAATGTCTTGTATGAATTTAATCAAAAACCAATTTATAACCCCCTCCCCTTCCCCCCTGTTTTCACTAAAAAATATTCTCTCTCTCAGACAACTCTTCGTATCAAATGATCGAGATAATGTTTATCGACACCCAGTTGTTGAATGGCAACAACCCCAAAGAATTAATGGAAATGGACGTTTAATTGGAAGTAATACACAAGTTTAGTTTTTTTGGAAGGGGTTTTTAAATTTAATTGAAAATTTGTATTTGAAATGAAAAAAGGGAATTTATGTTGATACAGCTAGATATAAGGCCTTAAGGGAGTCGAAAAAAATCAGGGAGACTTGATATCGAGATTTAGTTGTATTTTTGAAATTATTTTCTTTTTTTATCAAAATTTGCAATCCAAAAAATAATAAAAATTTAAATGGACACGTTCTGTGGATTTTTGAATAAAAGAAAATTATCTCCAAAAATTTTTAGTTAATATATACGGTTAAATAATTTTTTAAAAACAATTTTTGTGTCTACATAAATTCCTAAAAATAAATTATTTTGTGCTAAACTCCCCACAAAATTATTTTTCAGCATTTCCTGTTTCTATTTTTTGAAATTCCTATTTGGAAATTATTTTCCTTTTTTAAAAATTTTAAAGAGAATCTCTCTCATTTTTATAAAAATTATTTTAAATTAAAAGGACAAGGTACAAATATTTAGAGACATCCAAAACTAGAATAATTTTCCTGGACCAAAGAAACCCATTTTAAAATCTGGAGTCTCGAACAGCTTTCTAGTTTGTTAATTTCGTTTTTTATTTTAAAAGTCCTTTAAATTTAAATAATTTATAAATTTATTTTTTAATTTTTAAGCCTGCCATCTTTTTAATCTTTTATCATCTTTTTTCTTTATTTTTGCTCACCCCAAAAATTATTAAATTTAAATATGCCTCATATTAATTAGTTTAACTGCCACTAAATATTTTTCAATAAAAATTGTTTTTAAAAAAAGAGAATGTTCAAATTTTAATTAAATTAACTTAATATATAATTGTCAGAAATTCAAAAAAATTTTATTAACTAAAAAAATTTGAATTTTCGATTATTTCGGCATACCCGTAAATTTATTCAAAACTTTTATGAACATTCTTTTACTCTTTAAAAATAATCTTTTTAATCAATTATTTCATTATTTTAATTTCATAAAATTTTACTTATTTTTGTGTTTACAAAATAAACTCAGGGCTTAATAAATATTTAAAATTAACAGAAAATTTAAATTGAAAAAAGCACAAATCTACATAAATTTACTTATATTTTTCTTAAAAATTCAAAAAAAAATGATTTTTAAAGATCATCAATGTATGAAGGACAACTTCCACAACAACAAACTCCTTTATTAATTGGAGGAAAAAATAATGGAAATTGGGAAATGGGTGGACACAATAATAATCGAATGCCTCCACCTAGAGTTTTTAGAGAAACTAGTGCTTAATTATATTTGGCTTTAAAAAATGAGAAAAATAAATTTTGTGTTTTGTTTTTTAAAAATTAAAAAAATCTTTGAAAAAGACCAGCAAAAATATGGTAATTTGATTTGTTAAATTTTGCCATTAAATTCGGTGTTTTCTCTAAAAGGACGAGGAGGATAGGACAAAGTTTGAATTTAATTGAAAAGAATATTTAATTTTGATTATAAAGAAAATACAAAATTTGGTAAAATTGGATTTGAGGGCCCAGACTCCGATCCGTTGGATTATGGGTCATTCGAAAGAACTCCCTGAGCTTAGTCGGATGACATCAAAATCAGCTTAGACTCAGCGAGCTGAGTCTACTGATATATGTATTATTCGACCGGATCGGAGTCTGGGCCCACAAACTAATTTTTCCCAAAATTTTGTTAGTCCTATCCATCCTATCCACTCATTTAATCACTATTTGTCAGAGACTTGTCGGATTTTTTTCGATTAAAAATCGAACAGAATCCTTCCTGTCTCTATTATTTATCCATAAAAATGATTTTTTCTTTCTATATTTAAAATTATTTATTTTTTTAAATTTGAATAAAAATAAAATATTTAATTTATTAAACATCAGAACATTTAATGTTATCAATATTTAAAATTTGTTTTCCACCAATAAATTCACCAATTCTATTATTTGGAGAGGAATAAATTAACGAATTTTCTAAAATTAAATTTTGTGGAGTGCCTGGTGGTGGTGGAGGTAAAACTTCTAATGAAGCTGTCAATGCTGCTCTTTCTATACTAAATAAATCAGAAAGAAGTAAACATTTACTGTCATCTTGTATTAATCTACTGAAAATTTTTTTAGAAATTTAAAAAAATGAAAATTATTTTTTTTGAAAATATAGGGGAAATTTGTAAGTAAGTAAAGGTACCCCTCATAAAATACTCTAAATTAAATTTATAAATAAAAAATTCTTTACTTTTTTTGATCAAAATATTCTTCATTCATTTTATCCCTCCTTTGATTTTTGTCTAATAATAATTGCTTTTTTCGACATTCTCCTAACAAAAGTAAATAAGCAGATAAAACACTAAATAAAGATGAAAGTAATAATGTTAATGAACCAAGGCAGTGAATGAAGAATGCATAGGAAAGGTGTTGCTAAAGAGAGATAATTTAAAGTGTTTAAATTTTGGAAAAAATGCAAATTTAAGAACGTTCTGACTTCAAAAAGTGGGAAAATCAGAAAAAATTGGGGTGAGTTTATACCAATGTAACAGACTGTATAACTCGGCGTTTACATAATTCCAAACAACTATAAAGCACATGTTATAAAGCGCATCTTTTTGTTACGGAGTTTACATATTACCTAAATTTTACTAACTCTGACAGAAGACAATTCTCGCCTCAATTAGAATGAGATATTCCCCAAATCCGGCACATCCTCCATAATAATTGCCACCTCCAGAGAGAGATTAAAACAATAAGTATCCAGGGTAATTGTTTCAGCATTTACGGTACATTATGTATAGAAAGGTTCGATAAATTTTGAAGAAAATCTCTATATCCCAAACTTAGAAAACTTAGGAGATTTAAGAAAGATTTATCAGAAACTAAATAACAGAGCAAATAATAGCTCTAATTATCATCAATTAATATTTAAATTATATATGTATTACTTGATAAACAACAGTAGTAGATCCACGAATACCAATATCATTTTCAGCTGCCATCCAAAAAGAAATATCTGCAAGGATTGAACAACTAGCTAATTTGAATTAAAAAATATTTTTTTAAAAATATTTTCAAAAATACTTGCTAATCCAACAGATATTGTATGTAAAATAGCATTAGGGAGAAAACAAGAAGAACAAGCACCAACAAAAATTGAAAGAAAAGAAAATACTGAAGTAAAAACACAAAAAAATAAGACGGCTTTATGTTGGGCTTAAAAAAGAAAAGACGAAAATTTTAAAAATAAAAAAGCTCATCCCAATTTCATATACAAAAATGCTGAAAATCAGCGAAACAAGTAATGGGGATTAGTGATGCTTGGGTATCCCGATCCCGACTCCCGTTTCCCGATTCCCGGGTTTTTTCTTCTCCCTAGCATCACTAAAGGAGATACAGAAAATAAATGAGAAGTCCAAATTTAATTTTCAAAAGAATTTATTAAATCCCTTAATTTAGAGAATATTTTTTTAACATTTTTTCCTTCCCATAAATTATTCAAAAAAAAACAAACGTAAAAATCTGTGATTATTTAAATGTTCTCTAGCCCCAAAATCTCCCTCTTCAAAAGCCATTCTAACAAACAAAGAAGTTTGCCAACTAGGTAAACCTTCAAATTTATAGGTACACTGCCTGGCAGGTTTTAATGGAGGCAAAGATTTTCGGCCATCCCGATGAATACGAGGTAAGTCGTTTAGTGGAGTTACCTTTTTTGAGGGAAAATTTAAAATTATTTTTTAATTTTTTAATGAGAGGGTTTAATAGAAATGTTATTATTGAGGGAAGAATTTATGGAAATAAATTTATTTATTCATTTAAAAAATATTTTTGACTGATATTTTTCAAAATCTTAGTTTTTTTTCAAATTAATTAAATCAACATAAAATAATAATTTGTTTAATCTTGTTTTAATAGATAAATTTAGTAAACTTTTTCCAAATATTTATTTAATTTAAATATTTTCTAATTTTCTTTTAATTTTCTCTTAACAATTAAAGTAATTGTATAGAGGTATATCCAAATATTTTTAAATTCAAAATACCTCAGATATAATACAATCAAACAAAATAGCATGTTCGTGTACAGCATTTAATTCAGGCAAATCCAAAATTTGCCAGCCGGGTAGAGCTATCGATATTATTGAAATTAAACAGCCTAATAATGTTAAACAAATGCCGAGATAAAGAAAGGAATTACGTCGATTATTTAAATTATTTATTTGTTGGGAAGGAGGGGATGAGGGAGAGGAGGAGGATATATTCATTTTGTTTTAAAAATGCTTTTAACTTTTAATTTGTTTTTTCTTTTAAACAAAAAAATGGAAAAAAAAGTAAAAAAAACTCAAACAGTTAAAATAAAAAAAAACAAAATAAAAAAAACAATTATGTAAATATGTATATAAATTATTTATCAAAAGAACTACGAGATAATGAAAATTGTTCACGGTGTTTCATTATAGTAGAAGGAAATGATATTTGGAGAGTAATTTAATTTCCTTTGATCTACATATGACGAGATTTGGATAAAAGTTTACTTTATGGTGATACTACATAATTCAGGGCTCGGATTCGTACTTTATTTGAAAGTACAGTACTTTAAAATCGACCTCCGTACTTACGAAATTGAATTTGTACTTTATTGAAAGTATGTACTTTAAAATCAACATTTTGAAAAAAATGGAAGAAATCTGGCTTAAGGACCTCCAAAATTCTCAAAATTTTCGCCTGCGGCGCAAAAAATGGAAGAAATCTGGCTTAAGGACCTCCAAAATTCTCAAAATTTTCGCCTGCGGCGCAAAAAATGGAAGAAATCTGGCTTAAGGACCTCCAAAATTCTCAAAATTTTCGCCTGCGGCGCAAAAAATAAATTTTTTGGCGCCTTCGGCCCAAAAAAAAAGATGCATTGAAATTGATAAAATGCTAAGTTGAAACAAGAAATTATTAGAAAAGATTAATTTAAGAGAGAAATATAAAAGATTTGAGCACGAATAAATATTTTCTAATTTAATTTTAAGTGTACTTTAAATGTGGAAATTTTGCCCCTATGTACTTTAAAATCAAGATTTTTGTACTTTTTATTGGCATTTTGTCGATCCGAGCCCTGACATAATTTGATTTTTATAAATAGGTAATTAATAATATTTAAATATTTAATTTTTAGGGAATAAATTAAATTTTACTCATATTTTAAAATTAATTTTTTACAAAATTAAATTTCCAAAATTCTCTTATTAGAAATGACAAAAAATGATTGGGTGGCATTATTGCCCTTTTAATGCCGCTAAATTTTTTTTTGAAAAATGACTGAAATTTGATGCTTTTTGGATGTCAAAAAAGAGAGAAGTGTTTACGGGGGGATTGAAATAAAGGAAAAATAAAAAAATGAAGGGATGTACATACATACATAAATATTTACCTAGAAAATAATTTCAAAAAAATTGTCCTTTAAAAATAAACAAAAAAATATTTATTTATTTCAACTTGATTTATTTTTTAATTCATCAAAATTTAAAAAAATATTAATTTTTAATTTCCATTTTTAGCTTATTTTAAATTCATTGAAATTTTTAAAAATTTATTATTTTAGAGTGAAAGACCACCAAAGAAAATTAAGTAAAAGAGGGGCTTTTAATATTAAAAATATGTATTTTTAAAAATAAAAAAATTCTTTTAAAATTTAGCTTGTTATAATTAATGAAATGATTTGGGGAGTAGGGGAGTAGGCCCTACTCCCCTTTCCGATTTGGTGAGTGGGGCCGAAAAAGCAACAATTGGTACTAGGAAATCGACCCTGCTCTACACGATTGTATAAATTAAATGAAAAATTTTTCGTGACAGTTCGATATGGTACTTGTAAGCAATAATCTCGAATAATGAATAGAGCAATTGGTCTACAATAAAAATAATTCCCAGCACTAACTTGTATTTATAAACAATGTTTAAAGCTGTATAAAAATTAAATAACTGATTCAGAAAAGTGTGAATAAATTTATTGAGAAAATAAAGTGTTTAAAGCTGAATAAGGAGAGAAAACTAAAATTAAATTCCCCAACAAATTTGCCAAGGAATTTAAAGAAAATTGGCATTAAAAGAAATGAAGCGATAAAAGAGAAAGGAAGAAGTGCTACTATAAAATAATATATATTAACAACCACTCGAGCCGATAAAATTTAGAAAAAAAAGGAAAAGAAGAGTTTTATAGCCACAAAATTGGTAAAAACGAATTGAGCGGAAACAAAACAAAAATTCTTTTAAATTGATGTCATTCAAAACTGATAAAATCGGCTTTTAAATATTTTAATAAATAAATAAATTGATTTATGTATTTCCTTTAATTTTTTTTGTTTCAAAATTTTGCTTAATTTTATATCAAAATATTTTTAAATAAAAATGGCTTTCCAGTTATAGTTCAAACAATTTTTAAACCGATTCCAAATCCCACTCCCAATAAAAAACAATTTTTAAAATCAGAGAATAAGCTTTGTAATTACTGTATTTTCTCGATTAATTCCCCTGGAAAATTATTTTTTCAACCCTTCCTTGGCATGGGGAATTAATCGAGGGAGGGGAATTATTCTAGTTTTGGCATTTGAACGTGCAGTAAAGTATTTGGGGGTGGGGAATTATTGTTTCAAGCCAACTCTAGCATGGGGAATTAATCGAGGGAGGGGAATTATTCAAGGGAAGGGAATTAATCGAGAACGTTAATTAATTGAGAAAATTAAATTTTATTTGTACTAAAAACTCGATAAACTAGCAGAAAAGTCAAAGCAAAAAAAGCTATAAAAATTTCTCAACCAAAACCCTATTAAACAAAACAACACAAAAAAATTTCAAAAACTTTATCTAATCGAAAAATACAAGCAAATACAAATTATATATACATACAAGCATTATAATACAAACAACAAAACAATACAAAGTGAGTTTTATATAAGGGAGGCAAATGTACAACATGAGAGAGGGGAAATTATTGGGAGGATTGGAGAGATTTCTATTTGATCATCAGTCTTCTTGTCTATCTGAAGAATGAGTCGACGGCACCTCCACTTGGCGGTGGTGGAGCGCGTCCTCCTCCTCCTCCGCCCTGCTCCCAGTCGTATGGCCTCTCTGGAATTCGGTTGTTGGTGAGGTAATCCTTGAGGATTTTCATGATCCATTTGTAGTCGGGGCGAGTGTAGAACTTCAGGCTGTCGATGTGTTTGAGCACTTGGCCGAATTCTTGAGGACAACCATCGATGAGACTCCTGACGGCCGCCTTCCTCGTCTCAAGATCCATGCTGGGCAGCCTTTTCTTCTTGTATTCGCCGATCTAGAAAAAGGAAAAAATATTGTTTTTATTTATTAGAGGGTTTTAGGTTTGTTTACCATGTTCATGTCGCCGACATTCCCCCATGGCAGTGATCCTCTGTATATCTCGACGAGCATGTAGAACCAAGACTCCAGGTCGTCCTTGCGGGAATACTCCCTGTTGATATGTGCTGAGATGGCTGCATAGCGTGGAGAGCCGCGGAAGTTTGAGGCCTGTCTTGGTCGACGTAGAGATCCCTAGAGAAAATTGAAGCAAAATTTATTTTTTACTCCTTAAAATTCTCACATCCTCGCGTTTGAATTTCCGCGCCATGCCAAAGTCGAGAAGATAGAGGACATCCAGCTCGTTCTCGTCCGCACGTCCAATTGCTGCATTCGCTGGCTTGAGGTCCCGATGGAGGTAGCCGATCTCGTTGAGAGCCCTGATCGCGTTGACCATTTGCACTGAGATGCCAATTGCAGTGCCAGGTGTGAAGCGTCGACCCGGCCGCTCCTCGATCAGCTTGTCCAAGCTTTTGCCTACCAAGGCCATCCTGGGAAAAAAAAGAATTTATTTTAGATCCGCGCCACTTCAACATACACGATGTAGTTGAACGTGACCGATCTTCCCGCTGGGTCCATTTGTGTATCTCGTCCAATGTCGTGACACTTGGTGAAGTGCTTTCCCTCCTTGATTCCATGCAGGTCTTGCAGAACTTGAGCCTAAATTTTAAAAGGTTTTTTGCTGAAAAATAAAAGTAAAGTTAAGAGTCTCTCACCTCCATGGCAAGCAGCGGCGGGTTGGCGTTCAACGGCTCCGTCTTGAGTGCAGCGGTCAAATTACCGTGCGTACAGAGGTAGACTGCTCCAAACGCGCCGGCTCCTAGCTTTTTGGTAATGGTCCACTTGTTGCAGCGTTGGCCTGGTTGAAGCGTGACGAGCTGTTCTTCGCCCATGTTTGTGATGATGAGTGTTGCCGAACAGTTGAGTTGATGAAGGGTTGATGATTGACGCAGAAAAATAAGGCCTTTTATAGTGGTAGGACGCAATTATTGTAAATAGGTGGCTTATGATAGTATAAAAGCTGTTATCAGTGTCAGACCACTCGGATCATACTAGCCTAGCTAGTCACTGATCAGTCCTCGTCAGCTCCAACTTCAATTCATCCGTCATAGTTTCTACAACTGATCAGGTGTTATTTTCTTCATCGACAGTGGTAAACCGCGGGCAGCCTCCTTCCACTTAGTTTAAAAAACTTTTGCCATCGTTGAAACACTAGCGCTTTGTAACAAGAAAAAAAGTTGAAAAAAGTTTTTTTTGTTTTTAAAGTTGAAAACTCAAGTTTCGGTCCGTAAGTTTCGGTCCGCAAGTGTCGCACCTTCCTTCGAACTACAGTAGTCAGTTATTCTCTCAAATTCAAGATGGTGTATTTCGTCGCTCCCTCATCGCTCTTTCCAAACTTCGCATATCAAATAAAAACCTATAAATTAATTTTTCTTTTACTACATTAAAAATCTTTTTGTTAACCTCAATTAAGTATTTTTTGGAAATTTTTAAAATTTAGAAAAATGCAAGAGAAATTTAAAATCTAGAAATATGTATGCAGAAAAGAAAATCATTAAATATTTATGAAAATTTAGCCAATATCGTTTTATTTTTAAGATTTCGAAAGAGCACTTCCTGTTTTTATCATTTTTTGTTGTTTTGTCTCTTGTATTATGCATTATTTTAGCTTTTCAATTTTTTTTCTCCCTCATTTAAGCAATTTATATTTAGCATTTCCCTCGGCCCTTAAGGGCCCATTTGGGCGCCAATTAACGGCGTTTAAGGTTAAAACTTTATTCCAGCGCCAAGCCAACCCCTTTCAATGCATTTTCTCCCCCATAAAGTATCCCTGCCCTCATTTTGCCATTTCTCCAACACAAAATACGCAATAAGCCTAATCGATTATAGGAGAGCTGTAGAGTGATGTTGTGTTTAAAATGCAAGTCAGCACTACTCTCCCCACATTTCCCCCATTTTTTCTGTACAAAATAAAACAATTTTTATTTATTTCTCTTTCCGCACTCTTGTTTTTAGTTTTTTTTTCAGTAAAAAAATTTTTTTTTAGAAAAAGTTCTTCAGTGTGTTACTAAAACAAGCATACTACGCTCATTTGCACGTCAAATTTTTCTGTAAAATTGCTATTTACAAGTGTGTGTTTAAATGGATTAAATAAATATTTTGTTGGAATTTGCATTTAATTTTTTTGTGCTAAAGATTAAGTAGTAGTTTGTTGACGATTTAGAATTATTATTTTTTTAGACTTGAGAGAATTACTTTAATTTTTTAATAAGCCTTCCGGCAATATCAAAACCACCTTTTAATTATTTACCACACTTTTTAATTATTGTATAACAAAATTATTAATATATTTTTGTTTTTCATTATTCCCATACAGAGGTGAATTGGAATTCCGATTTCCGAAAATTTACGACTATTTCCGACTTCCAAGTTCCAACTTTTGAGCCTTTCCGATTTCCGATTGTTCCAATTTCTCTTTTCCCATGGACAATCTGAGAATGCCTTCTTTTTACTTTCAAAATTTCTTTTATTTTTTTTTCTCAAAATTATTTCTACCATTTATTTTCTGTTTAATCATCAATTTATTTTTTTGTCAAAAATTAATTCATAAAAAATTTTCATTCAAAATTGTTTTTAAAATATATTTTTGTTAAAAAAATAGCTACATAAAAGCTTCTCCTTTTTGTCATTTGCTTATTACAAGTTTAGTCGTTTTTTTTGGGTATTTTATGTATAAGAAAGAAAAACAATTACAAAAAAATAAACATTTTTATTTTTAAAAAATGTAAAGGAACACAACTTAAAATATTTATTTTCTAAAAAATAAATGTAAAGAAAAATTGTTTGATTTGTGCGGTGAGGCAATTTGGGGCCATAAAATAAATAAATAGTTTTTTAAACAAAAACTTTTTTTATTTGAAGTTTTTTGCTTTTATTAAAAAATGAATAAAAATTAATAAAAATTTATCCAAAAACTTGTGTATATACATATTTAAGAACTGAGTAATCGAATTTTAAACCTTTGAACTGCTTTAAATATGTATATAATTTATTTTAAACTCCCAAAAATCACTAATCTTCAAAAAGAACTTTTTTGGAACTTTACCCAATTTGTAAATTTATAAGAAAATTTGGTGCTTTTCCATTATATGACCGCAAACTGAGTGCCAGACGACTTTGATCGATTATAACTTTCTGAAGCTTGATCCAATACAAATAAATTTTATATCATTCGAAAGTTAACGATAAGCGGTATCCTGTTCACAATTGGTTGGATCAAGCCTGATCGCCCAAAAAAAGTTAAAAATTTAAATAAAACTATGTATTTTTTCTTTGAAAATTATAAAATTAATTTTTTTCCTTTCATTATTTTTTCAAAAATTTTTTTGTTTTTTAATTATCCCTAACACAAAATCTCTTTTATTAAATATTTTTCTTTTGTTTGGCACAAAAAAGCTAAAAAATATTTCTTTAAAAAATAAATATTGGCTATTTAGACTTATTCTTTCTCTATTATTTTCTTATATCCAAAAAAGATTGGCTAAAGAAGGGAAGGGGAATGGATGAGTTAAAGGGAAAAATAAAGGAATAAACGGAAGCGCATTTTCCTTTCTTTTTTCTCCGTCAAATAACAATTCTTTCCCTCTCTAAACTAGTTGATGGACAGCTGGTCCCCAAACAATTTTTGCCAATACTTAAATGGCAAAAAGACGACAACAAAAAATATTTATTTAAATGTTTTTATGCCCAAAGAAATTGACAAAAATTTTTTTGTTTATTTAAAAAAAGAAATTTTTTGGGAGAATTGTCTAAATTGTTCAAAGCCTTTATTTAACAAAATAGCTAACCACCTTTTCTTTTTTAATTTCTTTTTTTTTCTCATTTTATTGTTAAGCTTTTTATTTCCTTTCTTTTTTTCGTGTCCGGAAATTTGGGGAGTGGACACTTGGGGATTGGACATTTGGGGAGTGGATAAATGGGGAATGAGCGGACAATTGGGGAGTGGACATTTGGGGAGTAGCCTAACGATAAAAATACAATAGAATATTAAATAGTTTTTCTTGCTTTTGTATTTAAAAAAATAAATTCGAAATCTTTCGAATGGCTATTATATGTTTTTTCGAAATTTTGACTCTAAAATCCCACCATTGGTATTTGACCATTTCGAGTCATATATCTTGACTCAAACTTGTTTAATCAAGCTAATTTTAGTGTCATTCGACTCAGATCGAAAGCTCTTTCGAATGAGCTATTACTTGCATATTCGAATTTTTTACCACAAAATCGAGCTTACCTCCTCCCTCTTATGGTTTTTCAATTTTTCAACCTATAACTCGGTTCAGAATCATTTACTGAAATAGGGAGTTTGATTTTTTCTGAAATTGGAGATTGAATTTTTTTTCGAAAATTGGAGTTCGACTCAGCTTGCCGAGACGAATCGAATGACATATTCCACGTCTCAAACTTTTATCTCCTGTGAACTTATACATAAACATTTTTTTAAATACAAAAGCAAGAAAAACTATTTAATATTCTATTGTATTATTATCGTTATGCTACTCCCCAAATGTCCACTCCCCGATTGTCCGCTCACTCCCCATTTATCTACTCCCCTAATGTCCACTCCCCAAGTGTCCACTCTCCAAATCTCCGGGAGCCCTTTTTTTGGGACACTTTTAAATATTTTTATTATTTTTTTCTGCTTTTTTTAATTGTTTATTTTATTTAAAAATTTGCTTGGAACTATAAAAAGTAAAAATAAACTTTAAAAAGTTTGCGGAATAATAATATAATTTTATTTTGAATAATGTTTACCAAAAATAGTAGTTAAAAATGGAAAAAAAATACTTAAATAATTGTTCAATTTATAAACCTGTTAAATTTGGAAGTTTTCAATCTTTTCGATTGAATTTCTCAGAATTTTTCTAAATTTCTATTCGGATATTATTTTTTAACTTTATAAGACAGCCCAAAACTATCCAGAATTTTTTACGACCCTTTATCTATTTTAAAATTTTATTATATCCCAATAAATCCTTTTAATCTTTTTTCTCTCTCTTTCTCAATATTTTCTTGTCTCGATTTCACAATTTTACTACATATATTCTCTACTCATTCAACAGCCATAGTGGGCGAGAGAGTGTATGTGTTTGTTGTGCTCGCGGGGAAGAATATAAGTAAAAAAATAGTTTATATAGTTGTTGGTCTGTTTTTGGCGTTGGAGGCCACCCTTTGAATGGGGGACTTTAAAAGAAGGCCCAAGAGTATTTGGGTTGGAGTGGTCCGAGTACCGGCCGAGAATTTTGTCGATCGATTGGAAAATAACCACAAAAACACGGAAAGGCCGTTTGCGGAATAAAATAATATTTTTGAGACAATTGTTGGGATGGGGAGGGAGATTATTTTTAGTTGTTTTGGTGGTCATTCATTGCTAGCTCAGCTTTGCACTTTTTACTTTTTTTAATATCTGATGAGAGTAGATATTTATCTTAATATTATAAGAATGTTTTCAGTTTTTTTTATTTTCATTTTTTGTCAAAAAATTTTTTTCTGAATAAAAACTTATGTTACAGGTCTTTAAGGGTATAACCACCCCAATCACCTTAGCACAAACTTTCCGCGCACCCACTTTATCGCATATTAGTTTAAACTATTTTTTTAAATTTACAGCTAATTGTAAGAATGATATGTATCAAGATTCCATTTCTCTCCCCAAAATTTTATTGTTTCAAATCCTCAATTGGCTTCTAGACTATTATTTCAATTATCTTTTTTTTATTTTTATTTTTTAAAAACAAAAATTCTAAACTACATCAATCTTTGTTATCATAACTTTTAATATTTACCTTCATTAACTAAAAAAAGTAAAAAGAACACGTTTGTGCTTGGTACTTGAATATACAAAAACTGTGTAAATAAATAAAGCAACAAAAATTATTTTCTTTTAATCATTTTATTTAATTTATTTAATAAAAAAATAATTTTTCTAAAATCTATAAAAAATATTTTCTCTTATTAAAAAGGTCAAAATTATGTCTACATAAATCCATTTATTTATTTATTTCCACCTGCCGTCTGTCCAAACTTTTAAAATTTATTTTCTCTATTAAAAGGGAAGGATGGGTAGAAAATAGAGTTAATTTTCTAAAATAATTTTCCAACAACCAACTATTAAATGACCAACAAAAAAATAAATGTTTAAATAGCTTTAGTCTTTCAATTTTGTGTGTCAGTCTGCGTCAACTTATATTTAATTTATATTTCAGTTTATTTTTTACACTTTCCTTTTAATTTTACTTTAATTAATTATTCCAATTAATTTTAATTTATTTTTTTCTAAATCAATCATTGAAAGAGCTTTTATTTAATTTTTTGTTAATTTACTTTTAAAAAGGGGATCCTTTTATTAACAAAAACACCCCAAAGAATTTATTTAATTGGTTGTTTTTTAATTAAAATTAATCCCAACAAATTAGTATTGTGCCGGAACCGCAAATTTGGCCGGAACCGGAACTTTACAACAAAACCGGAACCTGATCCAAAAAATCCCGGGAACTTCCGGCGAAACACTACAACAAATAATAATTATTTTTTAAAAAATCCAAAAAATATTTTCCAAAATTTTTAGCAAGAAAATCATATTAAAATAATAATTTCTTTTTTTAAACAAATGTTCTTCTTCTTTTCTTTATTAAAACTCTCAAAAACTTCATTTTTCATTTTTAAAAAGAATATCTCAAATATTTACCCTTTTATTTATTTTTAGTCGAGAAAAGTCAATAAATCGGCTAAAAATAATTTTTTGTTAAAAGTTAACTTTTGGTTGAAAATAAAAGGAAATTAATTTTTTGTTATCAAAAAAATATATTTGTGTCAAAATTTTGGAGAGATTAAATAGAGGAGAAAGATTGGAGGGTTTTTTTGGAATTTATTTTAAAAAATTGGAAAAATCTTTTCCTTATTTTCTAAAAAAAATTAGTCATTTACAGTGTTAATGGGTATTTGTTTGTTGGCTCCGGCTCAGAGCTTCGGGCTTTTAAAATCTTAGCTCCGGCTCCCGGTTCCGTGGGGTCAGCTCCGGAGCTGGCTCTCGGAACCATACCCAGCACTTGTCATATATTAATTATTTTTAATTTCTAAAATTTTCCTTTAAATAAATTTTGTTTTTTTTTATCTAAAAGAAATACCAAAATCCAAATAAAAATAATATTTTATTTAAACAAATTTCTTTTTATTTTGAATGATTTATTTAATTTATATTAAATTGTTTATTTTATTTTTTGATTAAATTCTTTCAGACTAAAAAATATTTTTTTATTTTTATGTTGACTGACATTCAAAAGATTATTTAGTTACTCCAAAAACAGCAAAATTTACAGATGTGGTTAAAGAATAAACCAAAAAAATTTATTTCTTTTTCTCATTTTTAGTTAGTAAAAGTATTCCTTTTACATTTAATTTTTAATTTAATTATTTTTTTTTATTTTTAATAGAAAATTAGGTATTTTAATTTTTTATTCAAATTTTGGTTTAATTTGTAGATAGATACATATGTATGTATATCTGGATAACCTCGAATAAAAAAATTATATCACAATTAATTTAATTTATTTCTTCCCTAATAATTAAATAATAAATGCCCCAAATTTAATTTTATTTTTCTTTTATTTGAACAAACGATTTATTTATTTATTTTTATGTTTTTCTACATATAATATTTCCTCCCTTAAAAAAGAAACATTTTTGGAATTTTTATTTATTTTTTCAGCATCTGCTCGCATTTTTCGCGCGAGTGCCTCTCTCTCTCGCCGCCCGTTTGTGCTACAATAAAAAACTGCCATCAAAAATATTTTTTGGATATTTCTTTTTTCAATTACTCCTTTTAATCTTAAAAAATACAAAAAAATATTTTGATTAATTGATGACAACAGATATTGCTGTTAGAGGCCCTATGGAGAATGGAGGAAGTGGAGCTATTGCAGACTATACAGAGGAGAATGGGGATTATGACGATAATTCATCTTCGAGGCTTTTTGAACGCCATAGAATTAAAGCTTTGGCTGGTAAATCCATTTTTAATTAAATATTGAATTTTAAAAAGAATTTTTACTAACAATTTTATTAATAATTAAAAATTGAGTTGGTTTCAAAAATCAAAATATAAACAATAAAAACATTTAAATTTCCCCATAATTATTTTAAAATTTTCAATTTTATTTTTTTAAAATTCTTTAAATTTTTTAAATAATATTTAAAAAACTTATCTTTCTTTAAAGACGAGCGTGAAAATGTACAGAAAAAGACTTTCACTAAATGGGTTAATTCTCATTTGATTCGCGTCAATTGTAAAATACAAGATTTATATGCTGATTTACGTGACGGTAAAATGTTGCTCAAACTTTTGGAGGTACATGTTTTGAGAATTTAAAATTTTGGAAATTAAATTAAATATTTTTTCCCTCCAGTACTCCTTTTTCTTAATTCTTTTCCAATGCTCGAACTCTACCGAGAAGCCCGAATTCTTCACACAAACTTTAACTTTAGTCATTTAATTCTTTCAATTAGGTGCTATCTGGCGATCGTCTACAACGCCCTACACGCGGCAAAATGCGCATTCATTGTCTAGAAAATGTGGATAAAGCTTTGCAATTTTTAAGAGATCAACACGTTCATTTGGAGAACCTTGGATCGCAGGATATTGTGGATGGAGCGCCGAGACTAACACTTGGATTAATTTGGACTATTATTTTGCGATTCCAAGTAAATTTATTTTTGGGGGTTTTTAACCGAAATATTACCCCACCCCTTCCCAAACTTAATCTAAAAATTAAAAAAAATTTTAGATTCAAGATATTACTTTCGAAGATGTTGATAACTTAGAAACTCGTTCTGCTAAAGAAGCTTTACTTCTTTGGTGCCAAATGAAAACTGCTGGTTACAGAAATGTTAATGTTCGTAATTTCACCACAAGTTGGAGGGATGGACTTGCATTTAATGCTTTAATTCACAAACATAGACCCGATTTAATTGATTATGATAATATGCAAAAATCTAATGCTTTGTTTAATTTGAAAAATTCTTTTGATGTTGCAGAACAACAATTGGGATTGGCAAAATTGCTTGATCCTGAAGGTGGGAAATTAGAAGAGGGGGTTTTTGAAAGGATATTTAATAAGAGGGTTGAGGAATGATGGAGGGAATAATCTTAATTAACTTTGAATATTTTGACGCGTGCGATAGCTGAAACCTAATCTTTAAAATAGTTTATGTTAGCCGTTATAGGGCAATAAATGAAACTAGCCTTTATTACATAAGAAGAATCATATCTAATTATTCAAATTTTAGATGTCAATGTTGAACAACCAGATGAGAAATCTATTATTACTTATGTTGTCACCTATTATCATTACTTTAATAAGGTAATTAATGGAAAATTTATTTTTTAAAGTATTTTATGAAATTTAAAATAATTCAAAAATAGTCACAATTTTTTACAAAACCTTAAAAATTCCTTTTTCAGCTTAAACAAGAAACGATTCAAGGCAAAAGAATAGGAAAAGTTGTTGGAGAATTAATGGAAAATGAAGCTTTAGTTGAACGTTATGAACAGCTTAGTTCTGACCTTTTGGAATGGATTAAAGCCAAAATTGCTGAACTTAATGATAGACAGTTTGCTAATTCTTTAAAAGGTGTACAACAACAATTGGCCTCGTTTAATGCTTATAGAGTTGAGGAAAAGCCACCAAGATTTCAGGAAAAAGGCGAACTCGAAATGCTTTTATTTTCCCTTCTTTCTCGAATGAGGGCTAACAACCAACGCGCATTTCTTCCACGGGAAGGCCGTACAATTGGTGATATTAATAGAGCTTGGAGATCCTTGGAAAGATCTGAACACGAAAGAGAATTGGCACTTAAAGAAGAACTTATTAGACAAGAAAAGTTGGAACAATTGGCAACTAGGTTTGACAAAAAGGCGGGAATGAGGGAAACTTGGCTACAAGAGAATCAACGTTTAGTCAGTCAAGATAACTTTGGAACAGATCTGGCTAGTGTTGAAGCGGCTAATAAAAAACATGAAGCTATTGAGACTGGTAAGGGAATATTTTTGGATATATTTGAAATAAAGTTAAAGTAACATGAGTTGAAGGGCGTAAGAATTTTTAGTTATCTCTAGAGGGCAATATTATTTCCATCGGAAAATTATAAATTTTAATTGGTTGACATGACTTTTCTAAAATTAAAATTTATTGAATTTCATGTCAAGGATTTACCTTAAATTTTTAAAAGATATTTATGCCTATGAGGAACGTGTTCAAGCTGTTATTTCTGTTGCTGGGGAATTGGAAATTGAAAAGTATCACGATATTGGACGTATTAATGATAGAAAAGATCACGTTCTTGGCCTTTGGAATCAATTACTTGAGTTACTACAAGGACGTCGTCAACGTTTGGAATTGAGTTTGACAGTTCAGAAAATATTCCATGAGATGGTTAATGTTTTGGATATGGTGAGTTTTTGAAGTTTTTCTAAATTTAAAAATTGAATTTGTGGTTAAAGATTAAAGATTTTTTAGAGAATTCTCTAGGGAGGGAAGAGTTGTATTTCACTCTTTTCTCCTTTCATATTGAACACCCTAATTTAAATTTAAACTGATTATCCCACATCTTTGTCAATAATCCTTTTTCTCGTTTTTTAGATGGATGAACTTCGTGCCAAGCTTGATTCCGATGAACTTGGTCAACACTTAATGGATGTGGAAGAATTATTACAAAAACATGCATTATTGGAATCTGATCTTAATATAATCGCTGATCATGTCCAAAATGTCAATCGCCAAGCTGAACGATTTTCTAGAGACGATACAGAAGGCTACAAACCTGTTGATCCAGCTGTCGTTAGAGAAAGAATGCAATTTTTGGAGCAAAGATACAAAGAATTATTGGACTTGGCAGCTGCGAGAAAAGCTCGATTGGAGGATAATAAACGACTTTGTCAATTTAATTGGGACTTGACTGACTTAGAAACTCATTTTAAGGAACAAGAACAAGTAGACACTCTTTCCCTATTTATTTTAAAATTGAAAAATAATTTTAGGTTCTTGCCCAAAAAGATACTGGTCGAGATATATTCTCTGTTAACCGTCTTCTTGCCAAACACAAAAATGCCGAGAATAACCTTGCCGATTTGGGCCGAGCACTTGATGATTTACAGCAACAGGGACAGCAATTAGTTAATGAACAAATACCTGGAAGTGGTCCCGTTCCTCTAAGAATAGCTGAAATTCGTGCATATTATGATTATTTGAAAAAGTTGGCAGATGAGCGTAGAAAGGAGTTGGAGGGGGCTGTTGAATATTATCAGGTGAAGAATGTGAAAAAATAAGCCATTTTTCGTCTGAGCATTTTTGATGTATGTTCAATTTTTTCAGTTCTTCCATGATGCTGATGATGTTGATGCTTATTTATTAGATACAATGCGTGTTGTCTCCACAGACGATGTTGGGCATGATGAACAATCGGTACAAGCATTGCTTAAGAAACATGATGGTGTTTCTGAAGAATTGGAACGTTTCGGCAGGCATATTGCACAATTGGAGGCACAGGCTCAGCAATTGCCTGAACCGGTAATTAAAAAATATTTCTTTAAAATATTATATTGTTTAATGTTCTCTCTCTCATTTTAATGTTCCTTTCGATAAGCTAAAATATTTTAAAAATGTAGAACATTTTTGTGTGGGTTTGGCCCTTCAAGAATTGAGGATGAGTTGGATGAATTCTTCATATTCCCTTTTTTGTTTTCTCTTCGTTTGACATAGCTTTCTTGTCCCTTTCTTAATTTTCAACTTTGTTTTGCAGGCTCGAGCTCAACCTGACATCCAGCAACGTCTGAGCGGCACACAAAAACGAAAATACGAATTAGTCGAAATTGCCCGTCTTCGAAAACAACGTTTAATTGATGCCCTTTCCCTCTACAAACTTTTGGCTGACATCGATTCTGTTGAATCTTGGCTAGACGAAAAGGGAAAATTATTGGCAACATTTATTCCTGGACCAGATTTGGAAGAAGTTGAAATTATGAGGCATAGATTTGAAACTTTACAGGCAGACATGGCTCATCAAGCAGCCAAAGTAAATTTAAAAATAATTAGAATTTATACCGAAATGTTCGTTATTTGTAGGTCAGAACAATAAACGAATTGGCTAGGCAAATGTTACAGGTTGAGCACCCCAATTCTGATGAAATTTTGGCTCGTCAAAATGCTCTCAACGCCCGTTGGGCCCAACTCAGAGATATGGTGGACTTGAAGAAGGCCGACTTAGATCGTGCCCATCGCTTAGAAACATTCCGTATTGACTGTCAAGAAACTGTTACTTGGATTGAAGATAAGACTAGAATGTTGGCTGATACTGATGAATTGACTGGAGATTTGAGCGGAGTAATGAAACTACAAAGAAGATTGTCTATGATGGAAAGAGATTTGGGGGCTATACAAGCTAAATTGGCTGCATTACAACAAGAAGCTACGCAAATTGAAAGGGAGAAGCCGACAGAGGCCGCGCAGATTAGGGAGAGCATTACAAGAATACATCAAGTAAGGAAGTAATTTAAATAATTGTTTAAGTCAGATAATTTCCGATAATCCCCTGTCACAAAAATACTTAATAAATAATTAATTAATTTTATTTATGATTTACCCCCTTGAAATCAAATCTGACAATATTAAATTTTCTTTGTTTAAAGGTCTGGGACAAACTTAATAAAAAAGTCCGCGAACAAGAAGCAAAGCTGGATGAAGCCGGCGACTTACAGCGCTTTTTACGCGATCTCGATCACTTCCAGGTGAAAAAATTTGAAATTAATTTAAAATAAAAATAAATTCTGTAGGCTTGGCTCTCAGCCACCCAAAGACAGGTGGCGTCCGAAGACGAGCCCCAATCATTGGCCGAAGCAGAACAACTCCTCCAACAGCATGGTGGGAGATTTTTACTTTAATTATAATTTACTTTTATTCAACTTTATTTTAGCTGTCATACGGGAGGAGATCGATGGCTATGGAGAAGTATGTTTAAATGAATTTAAGAAAAAAGACTATTTTCCCAGATTTTTTTAAAACTAATTTTAAATTATTAGGATTATCGAAAGATGCGCGCAATGGGCGATAGGGTCACTCAAGACCAGACTGAGTAAATAAAATTTAAAAAATTAAAGTTAACTTAATTTGTTTCAGTCCTCAATATATGTTCCTGAGACAGAGACTTGGTGGATTGGAGGAAGGATGGGAAGAGCTTGGTCGGATGTGGGAAAACAGACAACAGGTAGATACATTATTAATACTCTTTTCTTTTTGCTTAAGCTTATGACTAGTGGGGATTGTCTTTACCTATTTATTTTCCTCAAGTGTTTCACAAAATTTTAAAATTCCATACGCCTTTATGGAAATTTTCTTATTTTTTAGTTCCTCAGTCAAGGCTTAAATCTTCAATCATTCTTACAAAAAGCCAAACAAGCCGAAGTCATCTTATCCCAGCAAGAGAATCGTTTAGCCAGAGAAGAACAGCCAACTTCGTTAGAACAAGCAGAAAATGCCCTCAAAAGGCACCAAGACTTCCAAACTACAATGGAGGCTAACGATGAAAAACTTCGTTCAGTTGTTCAGCTTGGGGACCAACTTTGTGCTGATGGGCATTATGCAGCTGATAAAATACACAAAAAAGCTAGAAATATCGAGGAACGTCGTGCAGCAAACAGAGAAAAGGCCCAACAAGTTTTGGATAAACTACGAGAAGCGTAAGGATTTTTGAAATAAATTTTTATAAATATATTATTGTCTTTCTTTAAATATTATTATCAAGTCACATTATAAATATTAATTTTTGTAGATGGCATGTCCAACAATTCCTTTCTGATTGTGAAGAATTGCGTGAATGGATAGAGGAGAAAATGGTTAGCTCTAAATTGGACTCTCTCTCCAAATAAAAATTCTTTTTAGATCCGAGCTCAAGATGAAACTTACCGAGATGCCAAAACAATAACATCAAAATTTATGAGACACCAAGCATTCCAAGCAGAATTACAAGCAAACAAAGCTCGTTTAGAACAATTACATCATGCTGCTGAACATTTGGCAGAAGAAAAGCCTGAATTTACTGGAATAATAGATCCACAAATGGTTGAATTAGAACAACAATGGGAACAATTAGAAAAGACTACAGAGGAGAAGGGACAACGATTATTTGATGCCAATCGACAACAACTTTATGTTCAAAGTATTGGAGAAGTTCAGGTAGATTTTAAGTTTTTCATTGAGAATTTTTTTTTAATTTTTTAGAATTTTTGATTATAATTTTACAAAATACTTCCAATATAAATAATTTAAATTATTAGGACTGGGCTCAACAACTTGAACAACAAATTGTCAGCCCTGAAGCTGCACCACCTCAGGATCGTATAACTGTAGATGTTGCTATGCAAAGGCAGAAGGAGTTGGAGCAAGAGATGTCTAAGAACGTACAACATTTGGATTCTTTACAAGAAATGGAACAAAAATTGGAAGAAATGCAGGTGAAATAATTTTTTAAAAAATCTTTTTAACCTTTAAAAAAATTCTTTAAAGCCTGAACAAATCGAACAAATCCGTGCCCATCGCATTGCAATTACTGAACAATTACAAAGACTTCAAGCGCCATTGGATGAACGTCGTCGCAATTTAGAACGTAAAAAAGCCGCTTTCCAATTTATGCGTGATGTTGAAGACGAGAAACTTTGGGTAGCAGAGAGGATGCCTATAGCTGAATCTTTAGCTATTGGAGATTCTTTATTTGATTGTAACAGACTACAAAAGAATACTCAATCATTAAGAAACGAAGTAGACAACCACGAACCTTGGATTAACCAAATACGTTCAAATGGGCAGAAATTAATTGAAGAAGGACATGAGGATGCCGATAAATTTGTTGAAAAATTGAAAGAATTGGATAATACTTGGGAAGGATTAAAAAATGTTATTGAGGAAAGAAAACAAAGATTAAAAGATGCTGAACGTGCTCATCAATATCTTTATGATTGTGCCGAAGCAGAAGCTTGGATGAGTGAACAGGAATTGTATATGATGCAAGATGAGAGGGGGTTTGTGGATACAAACAGTTATTTTTTAATAGAAAAAATTTCTTTTAGAAAAGACGAATTCAGCACTCAAAACCAAATAAAACGCCATGAACGTCTTCAACAAGAAATTGGTCAATTTGCCACAATAATTAAAGAATTAGCTTCTCGTGCCAAAAATTTAATTGACGAAGAAAGTCCCCTTAGCGAACAAATTCAATTAAGGCAATCACAAATTGAAAAATTATATGCTGGTTTACAAGATTTGAGTAAAGAGAGACGCAAAAGATTGGATGAAACTCTTCAGCTTTATGATTTACATAGAGAAATTGATGATCTTTTACAATGGATTGCTGATAAAGAGGCAAATTTTTATTCATAAATTTTAAAGATGAATGTATTCTGGTCAGTCCCTATCCTCTAAAGGGTTTGACATTAAATTTAATGTTAAATTTTCCGCGTACTTAGGGAGGAATTCCCCTAGAATCCTGAAGAATTTTTTCTATAGGTAATTTCTTGTTCTCATTTTCCCAATTCCCTTCAACTTTAGATTTTATTCCTGGGTTTCTTGGGTTTACCTCTTTCCTTTTCCCTTCAAATCCCTCACAAACAACCACCCTACTTTATTATTTTTTCTCATAAAGGTTGTTGCCGGCTCTTCAGAAAGTGGACAAGATTATGAACATGTTCAAATGCTTTTGGAAAGATTTTTACAATTTGCACGAGATACAGAATTTATTGGGACAGAAAGAGTTGCAAAAGCAAATGAACGTTGTGATAGATTAATTGCTATTGGACATACAGATGCGCCTACAATAGCTTTGTGGAAAGATTCTTTAAACGAAGCATGGGAAAACCTTCAAGAATTAATAGATACAAGAACACAAGCTTTGGAAGCTAGTAGACAAATGCATAAATTCCACTATGATTGTCGTGACTGTTTGGCACGTATTTTAAGTAAAACACATGCTTTACCTGATGAATTGGGACGGGATGCAAGTTCTGTTGGGGCATTGACGAGGAAACATCAGGTGAAATACAAAAGGATGTTTCTGAGAATTTTACTTATACTATTGTTTTTAAGGCATTCCTCAAAGACATAGAAGCAATCGGCGCCCATGTCCAACAGATCGAAGGAGATGCTCGCCGTCTTCGTGATGCTTATGCAGGTCAAAGATCGACAGAAATAGCTGAGATGGAATATGAAATATTAAAAGCTTGGCATCGTCTAAATGAGGCTTGTAAAGGAAGAATGGGAAGATTAAACGACACAAGTGATCTGTTCCGATTTTTGAATATGGTTAGGGATTTACTTCTTTGGATTGAGGAGGTTAAGAGAGAAATGCTTTCTCATGAGAGGCCTAAAGATGTTTCCGGTGTTGAACTTTTGATGGTGAGAGTTGTTAATTTTATAAAATTATTAAAAATACAAATTTCTAAAGAATAACCACCAATCATTGAAAGCTGAAATTGACACTCGTGAAGAAAGTTTTCGTGAATGCATGGCTCTAGGTCGTCAATTACTCGAACGTAATCACTACGCATCTGCTGAAATTGAGAAAAAGTTGGTTAAGTTAACAACGGACAGAGCTGATATGATGCATCGTTGGGAAGATCGTTGGGAGTATTTGAGGCTAAGTGAGTGGAGTTTTTTTTGGCTGTATATGGAAAGATGGCTTCCTCCTTTTTAATTTGTTTAGTAGAAGGAATATTTTAACAAAATTTGTCCAAAAGGGCATTTCATTTCAGGCCCATTCTTTATTTTTGGATAATAACTCTCATTTCTCCCCCAATTTAGTTCTCGAGGTTTACCAATTCGCAAGAGATGCAGCAGTTGCCGAAGCCTGGCTACTTGCCCAAGAACCTTATTTATTATCTCGTAATTATGGCCGTAATTTAGAAGAAGTTGTAGCTTTAATTAAAAAACATGAAGCTTTTGAAAAGAGTGCTTCAGCACAAGAAGAGAGGTTTATGGCTTTAGAGAAGTTGACAAACTTTGAATTAAAAGAAATGCAAAGAAAAGGTAAAAAGGGATTTTTAAAAATAAATCTTTAAAAAAATAAATATTTTTAGAACGTCAAGCAGAAGAGGAACGTCGACGTCGGGCAGGCAGTACACCACCTAAACCACGTCCAGGCGAAACTGTTTTCCCTGCATCGCCAACTGGGACGACTTCACGTTCTCATGAAGGTAATTGAGGGGAATTTTAAATTCGAGAAAAATGTTTTTTAGTTTGTATCTGTTTTTGTTGTGGAGTTATTTTTATAGTTTTTAGTTTCTAATTTGGAATATTTAATTGTTAAGAATTAGAAATTTTAGAGCTTATTTTGTTAGTTTTCTTTTATAATTTTTTCCTAAAATTTTGTGTTGTGCTTTTATAGAATTAGCTGCTCAAAGACGTGTATCTCACCGGTTGGGAGGACTCTATCCCGGCACTTCTTTTGCTGAACCTTCAAGTTGGAGAATGTCAATAAGTAGGCAACCACGATTTGAGGGGAATGATCAAAGAGGTAATAAATTAATTTTTTGTTTTTATTTTTTGGTTTGTATTGTTAATTAATTTTTATTTTTGTTGTTTTTGACAGTTAGAAGTTTATTCTTTCACTATAAAATATATTTTTAGGTATAGCAACAGCTTCAGACACATTTGAAGGAACGTTAATTCGGAAGCATAACTTTGAAGGATTTGAACGGAAAGCATCACATCGGTGGGTAGAGAAAGGAAGATTTTTTCTTTCTTTGTTAATAAAAAATAAAATTCTCTTGTTTCAGTACCTGGGAGAAGCTTTATGCCGTTCTATATAATGGTGATCTATATTTCTTCAAAGATGCCCGGCATCGTCAAGAACAGCCGGGTCAAACATTTAGAAATGAAGCGCCTCTTCAATTAGCTGGTTGTGCTGTACAACCTGTAGAACATCCAAAAAGAAGGCATTGTCTTTCGTTAAAATGGCCGTTTGGATCTGAATATTTATTGCAATGTGCTGATGAGGTGAATTAAAGAGTAAAGAGAGTTTAAATTTTATGTCAATTTTTAGGAAGATCAACAACGTTGGTTACAACAATTAAATTCTGCAGCAGCTAGAATAGGTTCTCAACCTCCCCAGCAACCACAGCAAAGCACCGCCACCACTTCACATCCACAAATGGTGATCTCCTCCTCGGAATCTGGTGATGGAATTTCTGCGCCAGTTGAAAGTGCTCAACTACAACAGCCAAAAGAAAGCACGAAGAAAAGAGGATTCTTTTCGAGGAGCAAAAAATAATTTAAAAAAAAGAGGAGAATTTAGAAGGAAAGAATGGGGGGAAGATGAGAGAATGGCCAAATCGGTCTATTAGAAAAATATCCATTTTTGTTCCATTTCATCTAAGAGGATTTTGGGGGATATCACTTTTCTCTTCTCGTCTTCCCTTCAATTCTCTTTTAAAAACTTTTTAAAATTCTCCCAAAATTTGCAATCGATTTTTTAATATTCACCGGCACTGCCTCCACATTCTTTTGTTAAATTAAAAATTTTAAAATAATTTTTAAAAACCCCAGAGTTTCTTTTTTAAATTTTGCTAGAATATTATTAATCCTTTTTTTGTGCTTCTTCACCTAAATTTTGTAATAATTAATTAATTTTCTCTTTATTTTTCTTTTTTCCGTCCATTTAATTTTGTTTGTTTTGCTGTATTTATGCTTGTTTATTTTTATATTACATAGCTAAAAACTTTTTTTATTGTTAGACATGTTAAAGTTTAAATTTACGATATTTTACTTTAGTTAAATTATAATATTTATATTTAAAATATTCATTTCTTTATTCATTGGTTACGAATTTCTGATTTTCGAAGGTTTCTTTATTTTTACTAGAATAAAAAGGTCACTCGAAAGAAACAAAAAATCCAAAAAATTAAGTCTCAGTTGAAGGATCCCTTTAAATTTTAAATTAAGGAGGATGTCTCTGACCATCTTTAATCCTGTAATCTTTCTAACTTGGAGGGTCCCAAATAATTTTTCATCTTTTTTCGTGAGCTTCTTCTCACAACCTTTTAAATATCCCTTCTATTGTCCACAACCAATGAATTATCTGAAATTAACTATTTTATCATTTCCTGCCTCATAGTATTTCCCCTTTTTTTTTCTTTTGTTTTCTAAGCCACAGCAATTTGAGTTTATTTTAATTTTATTTAGAAAATTTTTAATCTATTTTCTCAATAAAAATTGCTAATAAATTAAACTGCAAAAAAGTCTGCTTTTCCTGCCCAAACATTTTTTGTAGAAGGCTTTTTGTTTATTTTTTATTATTTTAGTTATATCTTCTCAAAAACATAAATATATAAATTATCTTTTTTCAACCTTTCTTATCCCTTCCTACGAAATAAAATGTTTCTAAAATTGGAGATGTAGGGCAAAGAACCAACCTTTAAAATATTAAGAAAGAATAATAAACACAAAATAAAAGGTTTTCAGTTTTTTTTTTCAAAATTTCAAAAAAGATGATACACTAGACAAGTGTTTCTCACTTTTTTATGCAAAAAATTAATTTTTTTCTGATTGATAAAATGCCAAAATCATAGGGATAAATTCGGGAGGAGTGAACTTATGGTATTTAATTCTATATAAGATGAGTTACAAAATAATTATTTTCTTAAAATAAAAAATTAACAGTTTATTTGTAAAAACTTGTAATTTTAAAATAAATGTATTAAACATTCTCAAAAGTAACAAGGATTATCTAACTTTTCAACAATAGCTTCCATAAATCGAGGAATCAAATCTGAATAATTGTTTTTAATTTCCTCCCATTCCTTGCTCTTCAAAAAGCTTTTTCCATTGACACGAATATAATCTATACAAGCCTGTAAAATAATTAGAAATTTATTTGTTATAGTATTTTTATTAAATAAAAATTTTAGAAGATACAGTCGAAGCTCTCTAACAATCCTTCGGGCCGAATTAAGCTGACAATTAAAAAAAATTACCTTCTTCAAAGTTGGAGCACCATATAAATTAATAATCCCACAATATTTAACAATGTTTTCTACGTCTAAAATAGAAATATTTAAAGTCGTTTTTTATTCTAAATATTTTCTCACTAATATTGCAAGACATAAAACGTTCACACAAATATTTCAACATTTCCACTTCATATTTATGGGCAATAACAAAAATACCATCCACATGGTCTTTCATTTTATCTTAAAATTAAAAATATTTTAAAAAAATTATTTTATTTAAACCATCAGAAACCATTCCAGTATAGAAAAACTCCAACATTGCACGAACACATTCTGGTGTAGCATCAGTAAGAATAACTTCACCCTAAATTTATTTGAATTATTTCATAATTAGTGAACAATCTCTATTTGAGAATTCCAGTCAGATGGATGAGCTTTTTACTAAAAACGAGATCCTTATAGTTATTCGATTTTAGGGTCCGTATTCTGGGTACACCCCGTTATACCGCGAGCCCAGTATACCGCCGAGCTATAACTTCGTTCAAAATTGTCGAATCCGGGAGGCCCTGGTATGGTTCGATGCGCCTAAATGAGCTGAATCGAAACATACCAGGGCGTCCCAGATTCGAAAATTTTGAACGAAGTTATAGCTCGGCGGTATACTGGGCTCGCGGTATACTGGCCTGCTCCCCCGTATTCTATACCAAAAAATAATCTAAATGTGTCATTTTTCTATGTTGAAAAGCATCCATACTCTTACTGTTTTTAAACTTATTTCTGTACGTATAAGTTTAAAAATTACATTTTGTGCTTCAATCATGCCATTCTGTTCAAACATTTTGTGAAATACTTTACTATTCTTTGCCAAAATACATCTATGTGTTTTTATAACTTCATCACCAATCTGGAAAAGTTTATTATGTAGAAGTCATTGTTTTTTCGTTTTAGATTTTTATAAAAATAGATTTATTTTTAACAAAAAGCTGAAAATTTTCGGTTTCAAAAATGCCCGTATTCATCATAAACCTTAAAAACACAATCAGCAAATATTTCATCATTCAGCATGTTTGCATAAGTATTTTGTAAATTATCATTAGAATTATAACAGTCAATTTCAACTTTGCAGCAAATTTTTAGATATCCTAAAAATTTTCATTTATAAAAGTGGATAGGTTTTCTTTGGAATGATTCTTATTCGAATCTTTCTAGCCTTGATAATATGTATAAGTTTATGACATGAAAATTAATCACATTGTTTCAAAGGTGAATTTTTCGGGATAACGTTCCTCCATTGGATTGAGGCATATGCATAAGGTACTAAATCGTGCAGGACTCACCCAAACGTGCAGTCTCAACTGAACCCCGAGAAAAATTCATTTATTTTTTCAAAAATATAGGCAAAATTCAACAAAATTCCAAAAACTTTCAAAAATATTTACAAAAATTTCCGTCCTTAGGGATGTATCTTTATTTCGTTCGCAATCTTATTGCTAAAACCTACCGTAATTATCAACCAATTTGTCCAATGAACTAGTAGTAAATCCCAACCGTTCTTGATTCTCAAACTTATATGCAGATCTTTAAAATAATAAAAAATGACCCCATTTTTAGGTATTTTTAAAAAATCAGTCCTAGTTTTTTAGATTATTTTTGGTTAAATGATAAAATTTTCTGAGTTAAGACCGTCGTGGAATTAAAAATTGAAATAATCAAAAACTACTTTGCAATGTCTTCTTGTATAGGACCCTTTTGTGCATAAATTTTATATTTAGTATTCACGAGAGAATTAAAGCTAGTTGGGCCAATTTGGCGAATCCAGATATTAACATCATTAATATAAATACGTCTATTTACATCGTAGCTTTTAACAAATTCAATATATAATTGCCATTCCACCGATGGAAAGTTTTCATTGAAAAATTTATCACATAAAAGAAAAAATAAATTAATACAAAGAATTTTTAAAGATTACTTGTTAATGTAATTTTGCCTGAAGATATACTCTCCAGCAGCCTTCTAGGATCAGAAAAAGTCCACTCGATATTTGAAGTAACGGTATTCATCTAAAAGTTGAGGAGCAAAATTCGATTCAGATTTAAATTGGACTTCAAAATATGAGGAAATTTTTAGAATATTTTATTTCAACTGAGAGATAGTATAAAATTAACTTTAAAAGATGTTATTTAAAATGGTATAATTTACATAAATATGAATGAGAGATGGAAAACTATGGGCAATATAGATCCAACGAAAATGGGCGGAACTAATAAAATAAGAAAAAGAAATTTCAGGGCTATTTTTCTGTTTATAAGTACATTATTGGGTTTTATAGGCAAGTTTAATTTTTTTGATCACGAAGGAGATTTCTAAGGAGAAAGTTCTTTGAAATTTTTTTTAATTTTAAATAATTTAATTCTGCCAAAAATAATTTTTAAGCGACAAAATTCTCACAAAAAAGTCCCTAAAATTTATACAAGTCTGTTAAAAATATGTAATATTTGCCCAACATCCATTAATATCACAGAAGCTTTTGTGCCGATTTCCTTATTTATTTATGCATTTGCATGATTTGCCCAGTCATATTTAGTTATAAATTGAGGAACCTAAACTATTTTGGAAGAAAATTATCTACATATCTAGCATTTTTTAGCTAAAACTATTTCCAAATTTATATAAACTTTATTTTTCGACAACAAAAATTTCCTTGATTTATTCGTAAAAATTGTAATTTTTAAAATAATATACATATTTTTCATTTAATTTTTATTTATTTTGAAACTCATCATTAGTTGCCTAAATTCTCAACAATATTCTCCAAAAAGCGATAAAAAAGATTGGGATAATTATTTTTAATTTCCTCCCATTCTTTGCTCTTTAAAAAGCTCCTTCCATTGAATCGAATATAGTCTGTACATGCCTGCAGATAATTAGGAAAAAAAATTGATAATTAGTCTAAAGTATGGACAGAGATATGGACTTTTGTAAATCGAAAAATAGGGGAGGGGGAGTTGATTTTTGGGGAGAAAATGAGAATTAGAAATTACCTTCTCCAAAGTTGGAGCCTCATATAAATTAATAATCTCACAACATTTAACCATACTTTCATCATCTAAAAAATATTTGGAAAATTTTTAATTTTATATTAAATTCATTACCTATATTAGAACACATAAAACGTTCACATAAACATTTTAAAGCTTCTACTTGATATTTATGTGAAATAGCAAAAATACTATCGACATGACTTTTCATTTTATCTTAAAATTAAAAATAAATTAATTAGAAAAAATATTTTATTTAAACCATCAGAAACCATTCCAGTATAGAAAAACTCCAACATTGCACGAACACATTCTGGTGTACTATCAGAAATAATAACTTCACCCTAAATTACATAATTTAAAAATTTAAGAATCAACGAACAATTAAACATGAGTTATTCCTAACGAAGGTGACAACTTTCTTTTAGTTGAATGTGGCAGATAAAAACCTAGTTATGACCAGTGCTTGGTATTTGGCATTTGTTGGCGGCTCCCTTAGCCATACCCAGCACTGGTTATGACCCTTCAGTCTTAAGTTTTGACCTCATTGTTCTTTAGGTTAATTAGAAGTGCTCAACGAGCTAACTTAAACTTCTAGAGAGCTTATTCTGTGTTTCGAAAATAGTTTTTCTACTATGATTATTCAATAAATCTAAACGTAATTAGAGCACTTCTGCCGTAAAAAAAGAAATACTAGTAATTTTATCGTCTAATAGAAACTTGCATTTTGTGCTTCAGTCATGCCGTTCTGTTCAAACATTCTGTGAAACACTTTACTATTTTTTGCCAAAATACATTTATGTGTCTTTATAACTTCATCATCAACCTGAAAAATAATTTTTTTTGTTTTTGAATAAAACAAATAAAAACTTTAATAACAAAATCAGTCAATATTTCCTCATTTAACATGTCTATATTTGTATAGGGCAAATTATTATTTAAATTATAACAGTCCATTTCAATTTCACAAAAAAGCTTCAGATGCCCTAAAATTTTATTTATTATTCATTTCTAGCAACATTTGAGGACTATGTAGATATGACAAATTTTCAAAACTCACCATCAGAACCAACTACTTTATCCAATTTAATTGAAGTCTGTCCCAAACGTTTTTGATTTTCTAACTTGTAGGTAGCAGATCTTTAAAATAATGTTTATTTAATGATACTTTTTAGTTCAGACTAGCCAGATTTTTAGACTATTTTACCTATTTTATTTTTAAAAATCACTTATTTTCTGAAATTTTCGGTTTTTATAAAGACAGGTTATTTTTTCCGAAAGGGAAAAATCTTCTAGTTTTAAAAATCAAGACGAATTGTTGAGAAATAAAATTTTTAAACATTTAACTAACATACTTTGCAATATCTACTCGTATAAAATCCTTCTTTGCAAAAATTTTATATTTAATATTCACGAGAGAATTCAAACATATTGGCCCAATTTGTCTAATCCAAACGTTAACATCATATCTAGCTAAATACAAACATAACTCCCATTCAACTGACGGAAATTCCGGATTAGAAAATTTGTCACATGAAAAAAATTAATAAGAAATTTATAGATTAAAATTAAAAGAATACTTATTAACGTAATTTTGCCAGAGGGAGGAAAAGATTCGAGAATTTTCTTAGGACTGTGAACAGTCCAATCGTTTGTAAAAGTAATAGTTCTCATCTAAAATAATTTTTAAATAAGTAAATTGAATTTATTGAATATATTTTTAGAATATTTAAGTTAAAAGAAACTCTTAAAGTATGGAGAAAAGAAGCGATTGAAGAATATTAAGTTGTGTAAGGGAAATAATAAATTTAAGGGGACAATTTAAGTATCACAATAAAGCAGGGAATCAAGATAAAAAGTTAAACGGCAAGAAGTTTAATTTAAAAGGGAATTTGTTGTGGAGGCTAGAAGTAAAGAGCTAGGAGGAAAATAGAGTTAGATAAAATATAAACAAAGGTTTAAATTTGAATTATTATCTCTTTTTTTGTTTTGAGTTTTGTCAATTATGTAGTAAGAAATTAATTATTTTCATTTCGCCAACATTTTTAAATTTTTAAAAAGTTAATCCTAAATAGTTAGGGGGCAATTTCAAATTTTAAAAGTTATTCTTTAAATAAAGGATCAGTTTTAAAGAAGTGTACTTTACACCAAAATCCTTATTTCACAAAATATTTGAAAATATCTTTATTCATTAAACAAACACTAACTATTATAAATGTTAAAATACCGGGGGATATCTTGCAGTCAAAGTTATTGTTTTAAATTCAAACTAATAAATTATTTTTAAAGTCATAACTAAGATAAAAATATTTGAATTTATTAGTAGCTTATAACAATAATTTTGACTGGAATGTGTAATATACAAATAAATATATTTTTTAATTGTTTAATCACAAATAATTTTTCTCTACTCAGGAATACTTTTTAAATGATCGGGTGCTCTAATTAACCATTCAGGCCACGCCCCAAAATACAGGGAAGCAGTGAAATTTGTTCTTTGCAAAGCTGCCCAAACCGAAGCAGCTCGAAGGGAAGAAAGTTCATCATAAACAACTACAGGTCTTTTAGTTGTTAATCCAAGACGGGCAAATAAGCGGGAATGGGCATTTGAAGAAGCCCAACGGCGTTGATTTCCAATTGGTGTTGATAAAAATAATCGTTCAACGGGGATATTCATAGCTGTTCTAATGTGTCCATAAATAGCTATTGGAGAGGTAGAAATGGAAGACGAAGAAGATGAGGACGAAGAAAAGGAAGATTTACTTCCTCCAACTATATGACCATCGAATTCCTTAAAAAATATTTTTTATATAAAAATATTAAATTATTTCAGAAGGATTTTTAAAAATTTAATATTTACAAACCAGGGCTGGGCTTATTTCGTACCTTCGTGTTTCGCATACTCGCATTTTTATTTCGCACTTTCGCGTTTGCATCTTTCGCATTCTCGCACTTCGCTTTTTATTCTTAGATTTCGCCCAGCCCTGTTACACACAATCCTTTTAACCCTATTTCTTATAAAATTTCGATAGATTATTAAAAATGTTCAGGATTTAAAAAATAAACCAAAAATTGAAAACCCGGTAAAATATGATTTTTTGTAATAATTCTTTTGTGATAATTTTCCTACAATAACCCTGTAAATAACACAGACTTAAAAAATAAAAAATTATTTTTTAATGCAAGGATTTTCTGTCCAAAGATTTGGATGTATCTTAAATATCAATAAAAATAAATTTACTTCAGGTTTTTGGGCATCAACAATATCAACTTTAGCAGAAACGTCCCCCTCGTCTGTTGGTTCAAAAGATGCCAACAAATCATCGAAAGTAACAACCAAATCTTGTATCCACCCAGCCTTAAAATCCCCTCCATTTGACATTAATAACTTTTCTTCAATTTTGGAATTATTTGATAAATTATTTGTATTATTTTTATTTGTTAAAAAGGAATGCCAAGCACTTGCACCTCCATTTAAGAAAAATGTTGTATTGTGACCGTAAAGCTGAAGAAAAATAATGAATAGTTTTCAAATTACAAAAAAATATTTTAATTTTAAGTGAGTTAGTAGTATGGACGGCCCACTAATATCTGAGGATTAACGGACGTAAAGGTATCTTGAGAGAACAAAAAATCTGAAAATTCAACGATTATTTTTTTATTAACTAAAATAATTGGTAGGACATTCTTTAGGATATAAACAATTAATTTGTATATAATAATTACTCTAAAAATCCACAAAGCATATGTTGAAAACAATCCAAGAGGATGTCTGTCATAAAGAACAACAATTGAATTAGAATCAACTGAATGTGAACGTAAAAGTCGTTGAAATTGTAATGGATGGACAGGAACACCATTGTGAGAAAGTGATTCTATTGTTATGTGTCGAGAGCCAGGAAGTTGGGAAAAATTACTGAAAGAGTTAAAATTAAGTGAAAGAGTTAAATTAAATATTTAACTAATTATCTACACAGATGTAATTCTATAGAAAATTTCAAAAATAATTTAAAAATTTAAAAGAGGATTAATGTTAGAGTTAGACGCAAATGAGGAAAGGTTTATTTGTTAATTATTATTTTTTTGGTTTTCTCAAAGAGAAAGTTTTCAAATCTCATAAGGCGTTTCTTTGAACCTAGAATCTCGGGAACAAATAATTTATAAATTTTCTTTAATTATGATTGTAATGTATTTCCGATATTTTTATTAAAAGATTGATTGTAAGTATAAAAGCCTAAAACATTTGATTATTACAAAAAAATCTTCATAAATTGCCATCAAAACAAACGACCACCCCCATTTGTGCTACGAGGTTGCTGCCAGAATGAAGTTTTCCATCTACAACTTCAACGGATCCAAGAAGAAGAAAGCTGTGTGCTTCAACATGATGGCTCTCTCGATTGCTGTTCTCGTATTTCTTGGACAAGTTGACACTACAGGAGCGAACAATGTTGGTCTGGGGAATCACATTTTGAAGGAAGGAAAGGTGAATCTTGCTGCAGGCTCAACTGTCGTTGCCACCAATAAGGACATTGAACAATATAAAGCTAAGTTTCCTGATGCTTGCGATGTTGACTTTGACAGCGAAGGAAATATGTGAGTTAATTTGGTGTTAGATAAATGTAAGTATTTTTTTATTTTTAAGTGTTCTTCACTACAAAAGTCAAGGTGCGACAAAGGACAAAGGCTGTACGGTGGATCTTCTAACAAATATAAGGAATAAGATTCTTTTCACAGCCGGTTTGATTGTAACAAAGGACATTGGTACTTGCCTGACCTGGAATTTTAATGAGAACACGTTAGTTTACGAAAACTTATACCGAAAAGTTTTTAACTTAGAATTAAAAAAGATGTCTAAAAATATTTAAAAATTAGGTTTATGGCTACCCTGACAAGAATGAGGAAATATTTCAGAATTTATTATTTCAGATTGCCTTTTGCCTACAGCTTGCTAAATGAAGAAATCAGACAATTCCACAATGGTCCGATTTTCAGTAAGGATGGCGGATGTTGTGCAGGCACTTGTATGAAACGAACGGGCCTTGAAGTTTCATGGTGGCTATATGAAGATAGGCAAAGATTTGACATCGTGCTAAATGCAAATCCAAGTAATAAATCTCCTTTAGATTAATTTTTATTTCTAAATTCAATTTTAGTTGGTATGGGACTAATCAACCAAACCGGTCAAGCTAAATCAACAGTGGAAAAGAAAAAAGAGTACCCGACAGTTGAGATATCGGATCAACCTCCAAGATATCAGATCAACTTTCCGGGGATACCTATTGCGACTACCAGAGGTTCTTGCATTGAAAACATCCTGCTCTCGCCTATCACATGGGAAATCGACGGTAAAAGTCCAGATCCAAAAATGAATCGCTTGTTGGTTTTTCATCTTCTCCCTCAACGTGCATCGCGAATAAGAGAATTTATTGGCGGTGATAAATATAAAATACAAGGATATCCGCCGCAAGGACCCAAATGTGATGACCTAACTATCAAATTCGTAAGTGATAAACAAATTAACTACTCATTATTAATTTATTTTAACAAATTTAGTCGAAGAGCAACTACAAATTGCTTAATGTTCTTTCTTCTCCTGATATAACAAAGCCACCAACAAACGTTGAAACAAAACCTCCAGGTACCAGCAATGATCCAACAAACAAAAATCAGATCTCAACAACTTCAGCAAACAACGAAAATAATTCAACAACATCGACGCCTGAGGATAAGTTGGTAAACACGACAACTACCGGTCAAGTTACAGAAACGGGTGAATTGGGAAGTTCAACAGCTCCCGCTTCAAAAGGCTCTTCTTCATCTACGTCTGCAAGTACAAAAACTACACCAGTAATAACAACGATGACAACCACCACCAAAAGCTCCTCTTCGATCGGCGTGATAATTGTTGTGATTGGCGTTATTTTGATCATTGTCATTGGAGTTTCTGTCTACTTCTTTGTCATAAGGAAGAAGCCTGACAAGAAGGGAAAAGATGCTGAGGGAGGTGATAGGACAAAAGGAGATGCTGAAGAAGGGGATGATAAGAAGGAAGAAGATGATAAAGAGAAAGAAGAGGATGAGGGTGATAAGTCTAAAGACGAAGAGGAAGACGGTGATAAGTCAAACGAAGATGATGAGGAAGGTGACAAGAAGAAAGTAAAGGGTTCGGAGTCAAAAACGGGTGGCGAAACCAAAGAAGAAGAACAGACGGGTGCAAAATCGGGTGATGCTGAAGCGAAGGAAGAAGGCGAAACAAATGAAGTCGAAAGTTTGTCGCCAGAAGAAAAGAAGATTGAGGATGAGATATATAAAGTGTGATATAATATATGGATATACAAATAATGCTCTAGATATATATAATTGTTTGTTTGTAAATATTTGCCTATATATAATTGTATTGAGTCCTATTTTTTGTTACCTAGATTTATCTTAATTATTCTGATCCCTTAAATGTGTATGTTAGTAATGTTACTTAATGTCTATATATCTAAATGTCCTATAATGTCCTATTTGTAATTGTAGATAAATATTTGCTTTATCACAATTGAAGTAATATAAATTTTATTTATAAATTTTATTGTTGAAAGCCTTTAGGGAATAAATTTGGAACAATGATTTAATAGAAGCCTTAGACCTTTAACGGGATTATAATATAATGATAAAAACCTAATATAAAATATTTGGGTAAGTCAGCTTCCGTAAGTGTCTCACTTGACGAACCCATTTGTAATTGTAGATAAATATTTGCTTTATCACAATTGAAGTAAAAACTGTACTATAAAAGCCTAAATGACCCGTGATTATTAACGCCATCAAAACAACCGACACCCATTTTTGCTAGGAAGCTACTGCTAGAATCAAGTTTTTCATCTACAACGGATCCAAGAAGAAGCAAATCATGTTCGTCAACATTGTGGCTCTCTCGATTGCTGTTCTCGTGTTGGTTGGACAAGTTAACATCGCAGGAGCGAACAATGTTGGTCTGGGGAATCACATTTTGAAGGAAGGAAAGGTGAATCTAGCTGCAGGCTCAACTGTCGCCACTATCGGTGACATTGAACAATACAAGGCTAAGTTTCCTGATGCTTGCGATGTTGACTTTGACAGCGAAGGAAATATGTGAGTTAATTATTTTTGTTTCAAAGTTTTGTAGTATAAATATTTCTCCTATTTTAAGTGTTCTTCACTACAAAAGTCAAGGTGCGACAAAGGACAAAGGCTGTACGGTGGATCTTCTAACAAAATTGGAGAATGAAATTGTTTTCACGACATGGTTGAGCCATTCTACAGGACTTGAGAATTGTCTGCCGGATCATAATCTGAACACGTTAGTTTACGTAAAAGGAGTAGTTTACGTAAAAGAACTCTACCACTGCACCACCGCAGAACACAGTTGTAAATAAAAATAAATTGTTTATATGTAAAAAAGAAAACTGAGGGGGATCCTAAAACTTTGGGGGCTTATAACTCGGTCCCTGGTACCCCGCAGCGAAAATGGTTCAAGATTTACAATAGAAAGGGTATACTCTACCTCTCTACCAAATTTCATCCCGAAGTCCCACGGACACCCAAAAGGCTCTCCTTTGTGAAGAGTTTAAAAAATATATTCTACATCTATAAAATTATATGGCTACCCCGACAAGAATGAGGAAACATTTTATTTCAGAATTTATTATTTTAGATTGCCTTTTGCCTACAGCTTGCTAAATGAAGAAATCAGTCAATTCCACGATGGTCCGATTGTCAATTTGAGTAGCAGTTGCTGTGAAAGTCCTTGTGTCGAAAGAACGGGCCTTGAAGTTTCATGGTGGTTAGATAGTAAAAAAGGAAAGGTTGTGTCATATGCAAATCCAAGTAATAAATCTCTTTAGTTTAAGTTTTATTTCTAAATTCAATTTTAGTTGGCGTGGGACTAATGGGCGAAACTTCTCAAAAAATCGCAAGAGTGGAAGAGCAAAGTGAGCACCCAAAAGTTGAGATATCTGAATCTCCAAGATTTAAGATTTACTTTCCGAAGGGGGAAAAGATAGATCCTTACGGTAAACCATGCATTGGAATAGATGTGGAAAAATCCATCAAGGAGAAAACTCTACCGCCTATCACATGGGAAATCGACAGTACAAGTCCAGATCCAACAAAGAATCGTTTATTGGTTTTTCATCTTCTCCCTCAACGTGCATCGCGAAATAGGACGTGGTTGGAGGGAAAAAGGAAATTTGAAATAGGAGGAAATCTGCCGCAAGGACCCAAGTGTGATGACTTAAACATCAAATTCGTAAGTGATAAACAAATGAACGATTTATTATTAATTCATTTCAACAAATTCAGTCGAAGAGCAACTATGCATTGCTGACTGGTTTTTCTCATGATATAACAAAGCCACCTACAGGTGCCAGTAATGATCCATCAAATAATAATCAAATCTCATCAACTTTAGCAAACGGCGAAAATAATTCAACAACATCGACACCTGAAGGCAATTTGGAAAACATGACAACTACCGGTCAAGTTACAAAAACGGATGAATTGAGAACTTCAACAGCTCCCGCTTCAAAAGGCTCAACAACGGCTTCAAGTACAATAACAACAACCACCAAAAGCTCCTCTACAATCGTCGGGATAGTTGTGGTTGCCGTTATTCTGATCATCATTGTCATTGGAATTTCTGTCTACTTCTTTGTCATAAGGAAGAAGCCTGACAAGAAGGGAAAAGATGCTGAGGGAGGTGATGAGGCAAAAGGAGATGGTGAAGAAGAGGGTGATAAGAAGGAAGAAAATGGTAAAGAGAAGGAAGAGGATGAGGGTGATAAGTCTAAAGACGAAGAGGAAGATGGTGATAAATCAAAAGAAGATGATGAGGAAGATGACAAGAAGGAAGTAAAGGGTTCGGAGTCAAAAACGGAAGGCGAAACCAAAGACGAAGAACAGACGGGCGCAACATCGGTTGATACTGAAGCGAAGGAAGAGGGCAAAACAAATGAAGTCGAAAGTTTGTCGCCAGAAGAAAAGAAGATTGAGGATGAGATATATAAAGTGTGATATAATATATGGATATACAAATAATGCTCTAGATATATATAATTGTTTGTTTGTGAATATTTGCCTATATATAATTGTATTGAGTATCTATTTTTTGTTATCTGGATTCATCTTAATTATTCTTGTCCCTTAAAATATGTATCTATGTTAGTAATGTTCCTTAATGTCTATAATGTCATATTTGTAATTGTAGATAAATATTTGCGCTGTCACAATTATTGAAGTAATACAAAATGTATTGTTGAAGGCCTTTAGGGAACAAATTTAAAACTGATTTCAAGTTTATTTCAGACTTGAATTTACTAAAAATTGAGAAAGCATGGAAATTCTAGAAATTTAGCAAAATTAGGAAACAAAAATTTCCTCCTGTACTATAAAAGCCTAAATGACTTTGGATTATTAAAAAAAATCCTCATAAATCGCCATCAAAACAACCGTTCACCCATTTGTGCTAGGAGGCTTCTGCCATAATGAAGTTTTCCATCTACAACTTCAACGGATCTAAGAAGAAGCAAATCATGTTCGTCAACATGATGGCTCTCTCGATTGCTGTTCTCGTATTTCTTGGACAAGTTGACACTACAGGAGCGAACAATGTTGGTCTGGGGAATCACATTTTGAAGGAAGGAAAGGTGAATCTAGCTGCAGGCTCAACTGTCGTTGCCACCAATGAAGACATTGAACAATATAAAGCTAAGTTTCCTTATGCTTGTGATGTTGACCTTGACAGCGAAGGAAATATGTGAGTTAATTATTTTTGTTTCAAAGTGTGTTAGTATAAATATTTCTCCTTATTTTAAGTGTTCTTCACTACAAAAGTCAAGGTCCGACAAAGGACAAAGGCTGTACGGTGGATCTTCTAACAAATATGAAAAATAATATTGTTTTCACGACAGGATTGAGTCATTCTACAGGACTTGAGAATTGTCTGACAGATCCTAATCAGAATACGTTAGTTAATTAGAACAGAGTAGCCTAAAAAGTTTAATTGAAAATTAAATTTTTTTTAAATCTTTAAAAATTATATGACTATTTTGGCATGAAAGGAAGAAACATTTTATTCCAGAATTTATCATTTTAGGTTGCCTTTTGCCTACAGCTTGAAAAACGAAGAGATTAGTCAGCTCCACAATGGTCCGATTTTCGGTAATGGCGGATGTTGTGAAGGCAGTTGTGTCAAACGAACGGGCCTTGAAGTTTCTTGGGAGTTACAGGAAAATAAGCGTAAAGGATCAATTCTTGTGCTAAATGTAAATCCAAGTAACAAATCTCCTTTAGATTTATGTATACTATTTCAAAATTTAATTTTAGTTGGCGTGGCGCTAATACGATATACTGGTCAAGAACTGTCAATAGTGGAAGAGAAAAGAGAGTACCCAACAGTTATGATAACATATCAATTTCCAAGATATAGGATTAGCTATCCAAAGAAGGGTAATGTGAGTGCCAAAAATTCCTGTGTCAAAAACATCCATCAGAATATTCTACCGCCTATCACGTGGGAAATCGCCAGTAAAAGTCCAGGTCCAAGAATGAATCGCTTGTTGGTTTTTCATCTTCTCCCTCAACGTGCATCGCGAATAAGAGAATTTATTGGCGGTGATAAATAGGGCTAGGATTTTTAGGCACTAAAAAGTCCAAAATAGGCGCCTACATAGGCACTAAAAAACTGCCAAAATAGGCACCTTATTTCAAAAAAAAGGCAAAATAGGCAAGCAAAATATACAAAATTTCTTAAAATTTGAGCTAGATCTGAAAAAATATCGACTAAAATCTATAAAAATGGTTGAATTTAAGCAATAAACTGTTAAATAAATTAATTTTGACGATAAGAATTGCGAATATAAATTAATTTATATCAATTATTTTGCTTCCGAAAATAATTTGAATAAATTTTTAAAATAAAAATTTTTTGACAAAAAAATTTTCAAAAAAAAATTTTTTTGAAAAATAAATTTTACCAAAACTAATTTTTAGTCAGCAAATTTCTCAAAAAATGCCCAAAAATTCGCAAATTTTTGTAAAAATATGCAAAATAGGCTGAAAAAAGGCAAAATAGGGCACTTTTTCAGAAAAAGCCAAAATAGGCATTTTTAGGCAACGATAAAATTAGGTAGGAAGAAGATTTTAGTAAAATAACACCTGATTTGAACGTTTCAGCATCAGGCCTATTTAGGAAAAAAACAGGCATTTTGCCTAAAATCCTAGCCCTAGTGATAAATATAAAATACAAGGATATCCGCCGCAAGGACCCGACTGCGATGACTTAAACATCAAATTTGTAAGTGATAAACAAATGAACGATTTATTGTTAAATAATTTCAACAAATTTAGTCAAAGAGAAGCTACAAATTGATTAATGTTCTTTCTACTCCTGAAACAACAAAGCCACCAACAAATGATAAATCGCAACCTCCAAGTACCAGCAATGATCCTTCAAGTACCAGCAATAATCCAACAAACAATAATCAGATCTCATCAACCTTAGCAAACGACGAAAATAATTCAACAACATCGACGCCTAAGGATACTTTAGTAAACATGAAAACAACCGATCAAGTTACAGAAACGAGTGAATTGGGAACTTCAACAGCTTTCACTTCAAAAGGCTTGTCGGCAACTACGTCTGCAAGTACAAAAACTACACCAGTAATAACAACGATGACAACCACCACCAAAAGCTCCTCTTCGATCGGCTTGATAATTGTTGTGATTGGCGTTATTTTGATCATTGTCATTGGAGTTTCTGTCTACTTCTTTGTCATAAGGAAGAAGCCTGACAAGAAGGGAAAAGATGTTGAGGGAGGTGATGAGACAAAAGGAGATGCTGAAGAAGAGGGTGATAAGAAGGAAGAAGATGGTAAAGAGAAGAAGGAGGATGAGGGTGATAAGTCTAAAGACGAAGAGGAAGATGGTGATAAATCAAAAGAAGATGATGAGGAAGATGATAAGAAGGAAGTAAAGGATTCGGAGTCAAAAACGGAAGGCGAAACCAAAGAAGTCGAAAGTCTGTCGCCAGAAGAAAAGAGGATTGAGGATGAGATATACTAATAATACTCTAAATATATATGTATAATTATTTGTTTGTGAATATTTGCCTTATATAATTGTATTGAATGTCTATTTTTGTTATCTAGATCCATGTTAATTATTCTGATCTCTTAAATGTGTACGTTACTTATTTGTTAGTAATGTTCCTTAATGTCTAAATGTCTTATAATGTCCTATTTGTAATTGTAGATAAATATTTGCTTGACAGAATTATTGAAGTAATAAAAATTTTATTGTTGAAAGCCTTTTAGAAAAAAGGATTGAGGATGAGAACAAATTTAAAATACCGATTTCAAGTTAGTTTAGAAACTTGAATTTACTAAAAATTGAGAAATGGAAATTGTAGGTATTTAGCAAAATTAGGAAAATAAAAACTTCCTTCACTTAAAATTAAATATTAAGTTTACCTTTCTCCTTGTTTTTGTCCACCATCTTTATTAATTGTTTGTTCACTTCTAACTTCAAAAATTCTTAATTTACTAGGATTATTCCCTTCCTCTTCTAATATTAATTTAGCCAAAATTGCTGGTTCAATAGACAAATCTCTATTAAAATTTAAAAAAGAAAATAAATTTTTTGTTAAATTATTTTCTAAATTTAATTTATTTTCTTCTTTTTTTAAATGTTTTTGTTGTTTATTTGTTTGTGGTGGTGAAGTTGTTGTTATTGTTGAGGGTTGTTGTTGTTGTAATATATTTGGATTTGTAAACCATAATAAAAGTAAAGGAAGGGCCATTAATAGAAGGGAGCAACACAATGCGAATAACAATATGTGAACCAAAAACTTGAAAGAAAATAATTGAAATTTTATTAAATACAGCTTAACCTCATTAAAATAAAACCCAATTTAAAATAGGTATATTTTTGTAAACTTGGTTGGAGGAAATTTTTTTTCAAAAAGCCCCAAACCCCCTTGTTTGGAGTTTTTTGGGATAAGCCTCGTTATAAAATACGAATCTTCCTTTTTCAAGGGTTCTCTTATCGTGAGGTCTTACAGGCATTTTAATTAAAATTAAAGAATAAGAAAGGGAAAAGAACGGGGAAGTTGAATGTCTTCAGAAGGGCTTAATGACCTACTAATTTTTTAATTTTTACAAAATTCTCTCTAAAATTTTTCATTTATTTAATACCTTCGTTCTATTACTTCTCTGTTTAAATTTAATATTTTCCTTCCATTCATTTTCATTATTAATTTCTTCTTTTCTGTTTGGAGTATTTGTTGTTGTTGTAGTTATTGTTGTTGAAGGCCTTCTTTGCCACCCATTTCTATTTGGAATTTCTTCATTTTTTCTGACATAACTGAGAAGTGATAAATTTGGAGGAGGTAAGGCTGGGGGAGCTGGTGGGGGGATTTTTTGTTGTTGTTGTTTTTGACATTTTGGCATATTTTGCTTAAAAAATAAATATTTGATTGGACGTTAATTAAATAAAATGATTCACTTTAATTAATTATAAATTAATTATCTAAAAAATGGTAGTGAGAGTTGGAGAGTTGGAAAAGCCTGTGAGAGTTGGAAGTCATAAAAAAATTATTAGTTATAGTCTTCACTATTAATGTTTAAATTCTTTATTTTCACCAAATTATTATTGGACAATGGATGTTTTTAAGACAAAGTAAAATTTATTATGATAGTAGTTGTACTGAAATTATTTAAAAATTCCTAAGCATTTTTGAAGGGTGACTTTAAATTAAATAAAATAATTTATAAAAAATAAAGTTCTTTTTCCATTAAAAAATAAAAAAGAAACATTTTTCTTGCAAAGGATTAAAACCTCAAAATATGTATGTATGTAGTATCAATATACACTACCCAATAAAAACAAAAGTTAATCTGTTAATTTTAAATATATTTAACTAGATTGTCAAAATATATTAACGTCATCAATTCCTTTTTTTTGATAAATAAATAAATGGGCTTTTCTGTTTTTATTTAGTAACAGGTTTTTTTTTGTTAAAAAATTAAAAAAATTTTAAAGAAAAGTGAGAGTTTGGGTGTTATTATTTAAAATTACTTGAAAATTATATGGCTTATTTCTGATATTTTAATTAGAAATATATTTGAATTAACTTTTCTATCAATAAAAATAAAAGATTAGAATAGCTAAGAGATAACCTCGCGTCAAAATAAAAACTTTTTACTCTTTCAAGGTTAACTTAAAAATTTGTTTTTTCTTTAATTAAATAAGAGAATATTTGAATTCTTTATTTTGAAATTTTTAAAAATAAAATTTTAATTAAATTTAAATTTAAGTAAATAGGAAATAAATTCCTTCGAATTAAAAACCCAAATTTTTTCTCCAAATCTCCTCACTCTTTACCTCACAATCAATTCCATTAAATAACCAGATTTCTTTATTTAAAATTTGTTTCCAACCTTTTTAACTTTTACCAAATTCATAGCACTCGAAGGACGTGAAGTAGGTGCTTTCTCATAATAATTATCCCCCTCCTCTTCCTCCTCCTCTTCTTCCTCTTCATTTCCTCCTTTATAATTTCTTCCTTTTTCAATATAAATATTTCCTTTCTTTCTACCATTACTTTCATTTGAACTAGAACAACTTAATCTTTGCCTTTTACCTTCTTTTATTTCCTCAACACTACAATAGGAGTTAGTTTGTTTTAATGGTCTAATAGGGCATCTTGATGAAGGAATTGAACTGCGTGTTGAAATTGGGATTTTCCAAGGATGTGGTGATGCCCCTTAAAAATAATTGTTTGTGAATGTTTGTTTTAATAAAAAATCTCGAGGTTTCCAATTATTATATAGTCAAACATCGCTTAAAGATACATATATCCTCGCAGCTAGAAATTATACATATCTTTAATTGAATGTATCCATTCTAGGGGTTTGGTAGCTCATCCCCTACTGGCCAATCAAATTAGAAACATTTTTGTATCTATTGGGTATATCTACAAGTGAGATTCGACTGAGGATAGGCACTAGAATTCTCTTTATTTACCTTAAATTCTTCACAAAAAAATTTTTGTATTCTTTTTATTTTTTAGAATTGTAATTATCTAAATAGCCCATTAAATTTTTTTACAAATTTACTTTACAAAAAAATAAAAATTTTTAATGAATTAATAAAAACCTGTAATTGGTACAACAGAAGTTGGAGGGGGTGTATTAGCACCTCTATATGAAGGAAAGGAATGTGAAAGATAAAATAAAGATGATGGAGTTGGTCTCTGTGCTAGTGATGATGGAGGTGATGGGGTTAAATGAAGTTCTCTCATTTAAAAAAATCTAAAATTAATTATTTTAATTTTATTTTTGGCATAGGAAAGGATGAATAAGAGGAAGGAAAAAAATGATGAAGAATAGAATTGTGGATGGAAGAGTTAGGAGAAGACAGGTAAAAGTTTACAGTAACTAAAAGAACTGTGCATCATTTAGTTGAGGTGCTTCTAAATGAAAGTTCTTGTTTCTATCGTATCAAAAAGGTTGCCCCACAATTAAGAAGGTGCTTTAACTGAAGGAGGAGTCAAGATTTATGTATTTCTATTAGGTTAACAAAACTATTTGACAAAGTATTTTGTGAATTTAAAAATTGAATAAAAAATGAAAATAGTTACCGAATTTAGTATTACCTGGCTAAAAAATAAAGAAATTATGTAGATTCAAAGGTACAAGGACTAAAATATGATTTAAAAATATTAGAAAATAAAATATACATATTTGTATATCTGTACACTTTTTCTTAAAATTTATAAATTAATTGGAGTGGAAATTGTAATATTTAATCATAATTGGAGGAAGAGGAATAAATATAAATAAATATGTCTGTGTCGCGAAAATTATTCAATGTCAGGTCAAGCATAATCCTGACAGTTTCAAAACTATTTTTTCTTAAGAAAATCAAAAAGGTGACAAAAATAAATTGATAAAAATAATATTTTTAGAGAAAAATATTTTTTAGAAAAATTATTAAATTATTTTGACACAAAACTATTCAAAATGTGAACTTTGAATTTTTTAGAAAACTCGATTAGTTATTTGATTTGGAATTCTGCTTGAGTCAGTATGGCAGAAGTACATATATGTATTGGCTAGCAAAATATAAAGCTTAAAAAATCCTCCTCCAACTAAAAACTTTTTGTGGATAATTTAATTCCTCCAGAAATTATCCTTTAAATTAATTCTATTTGTCAAATAATTTTCGAATTTCTATAAATATTTTATTATCAAAGGAGCTTTGATTATGAATTATGAAAAGAAGAAAAATGATTTTCCTTCTAAAGATGAAAGCTAAAAATATTTTTGAGTGATAAGCACAAATAAAATAAATTAGAAAAAAGAGGGCAATCATCTCGCAACAATTAAAATATTAATTAAATATTTTATTTATTTATTTTCTTTGTTTAGATACGCCCCACTTATTTTTACAAAAAAAAATTAATTTTTTTATTGTGTATTGGCTGATTGCCCGTCCGGAAAAGGTGACAGAAAGTAAAGGGAGAAAAAAAAGAGGTAATAAATTTGTTGCAGTAAAAGGATCATCTTCATCCCATTAATGAAAAAAATAAATGAAAAAGAAAAGAAGATTTGCGTGAAATTATTTACGGGTAATAAATAAATAAAAATTAAAAATGTGTTAGAAAATTATAGAAAATATTTAATTATTTTATTAAATAAATATATTTTTTAAAATGGAAGGAAAAATTAAAAAAGGTTTAATAACTCAAAGAATTATGGATGTAAGTCACTTGTAAAATATAAAAATGAAAAGTTATAGATATGAAATAGTTGAAAATTAAATTATTCAAATGTGTGAATTTTCTAAAAAATTTAGTTAATTTTATGGATTAAGCAGTTTTATATTTTAATATTTACAGTTGGACTTCTTACAAATTCACATGAACGAGTAAGATCCGACCGTTATTCATCGTCATTTTTTATTTAATTTCAAAAAATCAACAAAACCTTTAACAAAATCTAACAAATTTTGGTTAAACCGAAAAAATGAAAAAGGAGAAAAAATATTCCCGTGAAGGTCATTAAAAATTAAACTTAATATGTTCTTTAGTTATAAAAAAAGGAATATTAATTTAAAAAAGAAGCAATTTCCGAAAAGGAAAAAAATTAATAAATCAGCCACGCCTTACAAACTTGTGATATAATTTGCAAGTAATTATTTGTAAATACAAAAATATATTAAATATATATTTAAAACACAAAAAACTTGAAAAAAACTTGAAAAATTCTTAATCTTTTAAATAATTATTTTAGGAATTTATCAAAACAATACATCCAATAACTTCTAAAATAGAATATTTTTCAACCTTAAAAGTTTATCTCAAAGGTAAAATACATACGTATTTACTAAAATAATTAACCTCTCTCAAATAATTACCCTCTATTAATTACCCTTCAGCGAGAGGTGGAAACAATATCAACGGTAAATATTTAAATTTAAAATTCTCAATTATATTTAATCAGATTCTTTTGCTAGTTCTTAACCAATTAATGAAATAAATAAATTTTTTGTAAAAAGGAAAATCAACAAATAAAACTTGACAAATACCTTTTTAAACGTTTTAACAATTTCATGTAAATATATATTTAATCGTTCCACCTTTTTATCTTTTTATATAAAATTTTTTTTCGTTTTTTTAGCAAAAATAAAATTAATTTTAATTTGCTCATAAAAATGTTTGTGAGTGTTGATTATTTTAATTGAAATTTAATTTACATTAAAAAATTTTAATTTTTACAATAAATATTTAAAATTAAAAAAATATGTGGAGATTACTAAAAAACAAAAAAGTGACTAGATAATTCTTTCTAAACGAGGTAGAAAAAAAATTAAAAAAAGAATTCCCGAGTTAATACATAATTTAATCATTTTAAAAAATAAATTTCTACTAAATAACTTGTTCATCTTCCAATTCAGTCATTTCCCAAATTAAATTTATTTTTCGTTTTTGTTCTTCTTTTAATAATTTATTTTCTTCTTTTTTACTTAAATCTTCAACAAAAATTTGGTGGATAGGCAAATTATTATTGGTTTTCTGGACAATATTTTGTTCTGATATTTTCTGAAAATTTTTTGAAAAATTTATTATTTTTTTAATTCCCTGGAATAATTAAAATTTATTTTGAGAAAAACTCCTTTATTTCAAAAATCCCAAAGAGAGTTTAAGAATCTCTTAAACTTCCTACTTCGGTCTTAGTTTTCTGAATTAAAGTCTAAATATATCAAATCAAAGGGAATGAGAGTCTTCGAAACTCGTAGAGGCTTCAAAGATTATCGGTTCTTTAAATATTTTCTATCATAAAAATTTTATTTTTTAATTATTTACATTTAAATTTCCAAAATTATTTTTAGCAATATTAAAAGGCAAATAAATTGTTGTTGTTGTTGATTGTTGTTTTTGTTGATAACTATAATTATTACTGCTACTTTCTTCTTCTTCACAAACATTGTTGTTACTAGTACATTTACTCCCAAAAGACAAACAATGCTTTATTTGGATTCTAATTTGTGGATTACACGAATAATAAATTAATATACGGATGGCTGAAGTAAACCTTTAAATAAATAAATTGAAGGAAATATTTTAGAGAAAGTTTGTGGGTATCGGAAATAGAAAAGTCAGGAATTTGAAATTAAAAGTTGGATATTAAAAAAGTGTTCTTGAAGTTTTGATAGTTAAATGAATTTAAAAAAAATATTTTTTATTTGAATTTTTCAAGATTTTAGAATCGTCGAGACAGATATGAATTTATTAAATGGGGTGTGAGGTATAAATTATAGTATATTGGACTTGAGTGATAGATTTTATCGATATCGATAAATGATATTTTTGACAGATATATTATATCAGTCCGGTCTCTACTTTAATTTTAAAATTAAAAATTACAAACATATAAACAAAAGAAACAGCATCAGAAAAGACAGTATGAAAGGGAGAAGCAAGTGAGGGATCTGAAGGATCCTTGAGTAATGCAGAATTGGATCTAAAAAATAGTTAAATTTAAATTTTAAAATTAACTACAAACTTTTCTAAGACAGTAAGTGCCAAATGTAAAGAATTGCTAATTAAATAAGTACAGACAATACAGACCATCTAAAATTAATTTTTTGAGAATAATTATTTTAAGAAATAATTTACAGTATAAACAGCAGATCTAACAGGCCCAGAAAGTGTTAATTTGTGAATTCTAAAAGAGGATTTTCTTTTAATAAAGCTATTTGAAGTTGATAATTGATTAACGAGTATTGGCTGGGTTGTTGGAGTTTTGGAAGTTTTTTCTTTCTTTTCATGGTGAATTAAAGGTTTGGATAAATGGGCTTTTGATACTCGGCGAATAACAATCTTTAAATAAATAGATAGATTTTTTAATTGAAATTTTGAATTCTTTTTTGTTTTATTTTCTAAATTTTATTTATTTCGAGGAAGCTAACAAATTAATAGTAAGCCGACAAAATGATGTTGATAATTATTTTTAAAAATCCCTCAAGTCGACGATATACCCATGTTAGATATTCAGTTTGGATTTAGGGTCGGAAAGGGCGCAGATATTTTTATAGACCGCAGTAACTGTAACGAGTTAATATATGTATGAGTATAGGGTTTCTAGTCAATATAGTTTGCCAAACAAAAACAAAACTTGAGTTATAAATTAATTTCAACATCAAAAAACTTCCAAATTTTTTCAAATAAAATTAAAAAAAATTAAATTTTCTAACCAAATTAATTGCCAAAAGCAAAAAGAAAGGAAAAACAGTTTGTGCAACCGACAAAAGATGAAAGTCATAAAGCTGATAAAATTGGCTTTCGAAAACCCAATCTGCTGGTCCAGCACTAAGAGAACGAAAAAAATCGTTGCATTTTGGATAATGATGAACGGTTGTTGCCCAAACAGTTGGTGCTCGCAAAAGAACGCAAGCAAGGAGGGTAATGGCCTTTAAAGAATTTTTTAGTTAAAAATTATTTTAGTAAATTATAACCATAGTAATTTGACGTCCTTGGACAGAATATAGGCGTCGAAGAAGAGAATTACGTCTTGAAAAAAGAATTAAATTTTATTTTAATATTTATGTTTTAAAATACAGGGGGAAAGCCTATAAGGATAACGAGGTACGGGAGAATTACGAGGAAGTGGTTGGACTGTGGTACGATCTTAACTAAACAGGAGATCAATTATCTAGAAAATCAAAATTTACAATTTCCCTCCAATCCAAACAAGGCGTTCCAAAGAAGCAAATATAAGCATATAAGGAATTGCTAAT